TTTGCAACATCCAAAGTGGGAATTGGTAGATATCTACCCAAAGACCTTAGAAGACAACGTCAATTATCTAAAACATTTAAACACATTATCAAGTCAAATAAGAACCTTGACAAATTGGTATATGCTTACCAGTTTTTACTCCAAGTGTACTTCACGAAGAAAATTGAGTTTCTATTATACAATTGATCATAGGAGATGTAACTTAACTTACCTACAAACTTATGCGTGATCTCTCTTCTTATCAATGTGTAATTCATTCTCAACAGGCCCCCTTGCGTGTGGTTAATTTTCAAGCAGTTGACAACACAAAATGGGTGACGTGGAGCACATGTAGCATTGAGTTTCACATGTAGGACAACCCGCTCTGTTACTATGAAGAAAATTAAAATTCCACCATAAAATCAATTAACAATACATAAAATAACTTAATTTACTTATAAATTCGTACAAGACTCTCGTTCACTTTGTTTTAGGTCTATGTTAAACTTTCTTCCATGATTATTGTCAACAACCGTTGGATTATTAAAAGAAAGATTTCCGTTATTAAACTACGGTTGTAAATATTCGAGGTGACTATACCAAAATTAATGATTATGGTTCAACTGGATATGCAACATGATAAAAGAAATGTTTCAACATGATCGTGATAGATTCTCGAAAAGTGGGGTCAAATTAGAAGCAAAAGGTCAGAGAAGACAAAGTTCCACATTGGCAATATACTCTAATCCACATCCGAGTGGTGCTATAAATTTGGGCTTGTCAGCTTGTCAGCATGTCAAGTAGTGCTATAAATTTGGGCTTGTAAAGCAAGGAGTTCCACCACTTATGTTCACAAGCACTCGATCAACTAAATCGCTTATCACAGTCGTTGCTAGCTAATATAATGTCTGCAGATTCAAGTCTCATCGTGAGAGCATCAGTGCTGATGATCATGCTTATTTGGTCATTGCATGTCAGCGGCTTGGAAGCGACACAATATTATGGCGGGCGCAAGTCGATGCAGAGAACTAGGATGAATAGCGCTTATATATTACGTGGATTACGCTATGATTTGTCTAAAATGAATCAGCAGCAATATAAAAAGAGGATGAGGAATTTGATTGACAGAGTCTCACCAGGAGGGCCAGACCACCAGCACAACAGTAGTCCTCCGGCACTGGACTGCAAAGATGATCTTCAAAGGAAGTTTATTACTCGTAGGTGCTAATTCCAGATCATTCATGAAGTTCACTGGACCAATTGATATGTGTTAGGTGCAACTTATTTGAGTACAAGATCATATGGTAAACGAGGGAACGTTTTCATGTTCTTTTTCCTCTTTTTTTTTTTTTTTTTTTTTTTTCAATGAGAGATCCTATGAGTTTGTTATCTTAAGTGCAGTGCCTGCATGTGTAAGATAAAATAAAAGGGGTGTGATATCCACACATCCTATTTTACTTCTCACATACCTTTGAATTTTTAGCCGTCGGATCGGATGAATTGAAGAAAATAAATGGATAGAAATTATCAAGAGATGTGTGAGAAGTAAAATGGAGTGTGTGAATAGCACATCCCTTGTAATACACCATATGTACTAATCAGTCGACCGATATGCCTGTAATAATTAAAAGGAAAATAGTGAGTATGCTATGTATTCACTATCTGATTTAGCCCAATAAAAAAATATCGCGTGTTTCTTTTATATATATATAATTTTTTTTTTTAACAGAAGATATTATCTAAGGAGTTTTAACGAAACATTCTCGGTATTGTTCACTTTTAATGAAAAACCACATTTTTATCTTTCTTTGGTACTATTCACTATACCTTTATTTGTCATTTTTCATTAAAACTAAAGTTTTTTTGGACTTTTCGTTAGTTTTTCTTATTATCTATACTAAAGAAGAGAAGATGGGCTCAACCTCACAATGGAATAGCAATAATGTGGTTCGTATTCGTCTTTAACGAGAATCGAACCTGAGACCTTTTCACTTACAAGTAAAGAGAAATACTTGTAAACCGTAATACCAAGTGGCTTGTTTTTAAAATTCCAAGAAAAATTAATAGCACGTTCATTACTTTATAAAATAATAAAAGATGTGTTAAATATCACTGAACAAATCAAAAGGTGACTACTCACTATTCAGTACCCATATTTTAGGATTTGGATCCTTTCCGGATCCCCTCCTTGGGGATCCCGGGGATCAAGGCACAATGATCATTCATCAAAGATCGTGCGACCACAATTAAATGCTTTTTATATTTTTAAAAGTAAAGTAATCTCGTTTTGTGTAAAAAGCATTTAATTATGGTCGCACGATATTTGATGAACAGTCCTTGTGACTTGATCCCCAGGATCTCCAGGGAGGGGATCCGGAGAGGATCCAAATCCCATATTTCATCCTCGGTACAATAGCCCAATTTAAGTTGGCGTGGTAGAAAAGTTGTGATTTATACGAGAGGAGGGAAGGGAAGGGAAGGGGAGGGAAATAAAAGAGGAAATAATCCTCCTCTTGTAGAATTAGAGGCTAAGGTAAGCTAGGGTTAATTAATAGGGCAGGAACGGAAGATTATTATATAGCGTAGTGTTATCCACACATCTATTTTTATTTCTCACATACCCTTCTCAAATTTTGATCGTCAGATTAATGAATTAAAGAATATCAATGACCAAAATTTACCTAGGATGTGTGAAAAATAAAAATGGATGTGTGAATAACTTTGTCCGTTAGATATTCTAGGATTTTCTTTGTGTTCTTCATATTTCACCTCTTCATCTTCATCAGGTTTCTCCGTCTCCATAAACATCGCAGAAATTGAGAGTTTCTAGACCTTTATGTCTAGGAAAGAAGTGGCCGCAGCAACAATGACATACAAACAGAAACCACAAGAAGATCAAAAGAAAATGTCATGGCCGCCTACTTACCCGACATCGCTAGCCACCACATCCTCAAATTCCTTTCCACTAGGAATGCAATCCGAGCCAGCATTCTTTCCAAGCAATGGGAATGCGGGTGGTCTTTTGTTCATGCATTAGATTTCGACGAGGAAGAGCATGACCCCCTCGACAAGCTTTATAATAAAGATTTTATCGACTTTGTGACAGAAGTGTTTGAAGCGCCGCAATAAAGATGATATCATAGATAAATTCAGGCTTCGTATAAGATACCTTGTCGACCCTAATCTCGTCGATCCGTGATTAAAATTTTCATTTGAGAGAAACGTTCCATTTAAGCATGCTTACAGTGGACCACTCCTCGTGGGATTATTGGGGTTGTCACTCCTGCTTACCCGATACCGTTTTCAATGGCGAGTCTTTAACTATTTTAAATCTGGAGTATGTGACATTAACGACGTCAGATGATTCAATATGGCTTCCATCCTTGAAATCTCTGTCCCTTGACGAAGTACAGTTGAGTGACTTGGGATTCTTTCATTTGCTTTTGGTGCCCTTCCATTGATAATATTTCGGTAAGTTCATGCTTTGGCTTTTCGAATCATAGAGTTTCAAGTTCCTTCCTCAAATCTTTGGAATTTGGATGAATCAGCGAGCCTTCCCTATTTAAAGTCTATGTCCCTTAGAAAAGTATGTTCTGGTCTTTCCAATGTTATAGTATAGGTGATAAGGTGACTCATACTGAAGTTAAAGTTGAAGCTGTGAATCTTGAATCTTTTAGATTGGAAAGTGCTAGTTATTATCATAGTGTGAGCTGCAACAATATCGATTTTCCTTCTTGTGGGGCACTTAGATATCTTGATTTCATGCGCACAAAGTTTGTACACGGATGCTTTGATTCGATTCAAAAATTTCCCCTCCTTGAGATTTTGATCTTAAATGCATGCCATGCCTCGAGACATATGGGCATCAAGAGTCAGCATCTCAAATCCTTGAAAGTAACTGATTTCTGTAGAGTATAACATTGAAGTTGAAGCCATGAATCTTGAACTGATATCGAAGTTGAAGCCATGAACCTTGAACTGATATTGAAGTTGAAGCCATGAATCTTGAATCTTGTAGATTCGGTTGCATTCCTTATATTGGTCTTCTGAGGTGCAAAAATGCCAACATGTTTGCTTGTTTTGGAGCACTTAAGAATCTAGACTTCGTTTACACCGAGTTTGAAGGCCAATGATTTGAAGGCTTTGTTTCAGGATTACCCTTCTTGAGAGTTCGACCTTAAAAAAAATGCCGCATCTCGGGACATATGGCTTCACTAGTCAAAATATGAAATGCTTTAAATTAAGGCAGTGTCCCCTTGGGAGTGGCACCATCGATACTCCCAAATCTACGCTATTTTTGGTTCAGGGGCAAGGTAACTATCTCAGAGTGAAAATTTTGTATAAATGCTCCAAATTTATCGAAGGCTACGATCATGCTCGAGAAGGACTGGGATCGATACACCACTTGCAGCTTCCAGGCGAGTTCTTGTATAAGAAAGTTCCTAGCAAATTTCGGTTGCTGTGAAAAGTTACTAACCGTATATGTGACTGAACCTGAGGTATCTATAATTACTAACAGTATATGTATTTATCAATCCTAATTGTGTATTTCTTGTTAATTTTCTTGCTGTGGTTGTGAAATTGATGTAGGCTCTCATCTTTCCGGATAGCATGAGAGAGGAACTCTCCCCACCATTACCTAGTCTCAAGCATCTTAAGGTACTATCCGAGTACTCTCCGAAACTCTTCAAGGATTATGGCTTGACGGACTACTTGCGTTGGATGGCACCTTCTCTAGAGTTTTTCAGTTAAAAAGAGTTGTGGTGGTATATGGGAGAGAAGAACGTGTGCGACAAAAGAAACCTGGTGTTAGAGCTTTTTCATTTTCTGCTTAATTCCCTTGTGTGCTAATCTTGCATGAATAAAGGGAGTTTGCTTTCTTTCAATGTTTTAACATGCAACTTATTTGATTACTTTATTTTTAGGAAGTATATTTATCGATATTTCTCGCCATGGATTCGTTGAATATCGAAATGTTTGCTGGTAAGACTCTAAACTGTAGACTGAAACAAGATTTGGCGGAAAGAGAAAGATAAGTTGTTATTGTATAAAACTAACTGAAACTAAAATTAATTCAACGAAAGCGTGTTTTTACACCAACAGAACCAGATATGAAACAACCAGAGCCAAAATAAGACTCAAAGTAGAAGATCCTAGCCATGATACACAATATTTTTCTTTCAAATTTGGAAAGCCTTAAGAGGGTCTTTAGTGTCGATGTCCTCTATAAGCGGGAGATCAACTGGCAATGTTTCTAGACTCAAGCCTTCATCCTTCAGCTTTAGGACCACCTCGTCAAACACAACCCTGTTGCCCCGGGGGCTGAGGTGCAAACCGTCCCTGCAATTCCAATCACCAAAACAAATTACATATTCGTAATGCCAATGCAATGTGTATACATGAAAGTGCTGTGTGTTGATGCATATAAAACTGCATGTAGACCAATATCACGGCTGAGAGAGAGAGACCTCAGGAAAGCTTTTTCCCAGTCAGGAAACTGCTGCATTTTGGTCCAGAGATCTATTACCGGGATCCCACTTTCTCGAGCTACAGAAATACATGCTTCTGAATAAGCCCCAGCAGCTTTATTTGTCCTCTCAGGCTGATTCAATGGATTATCAATATAGGGAAATCTGGACCATAAACACAAACTGAAATCAAACTCTTCTATTGTCAACCAATTTCATATCTTAATATATAGCAAAGTTATTTACATTTGGTTCAAGAATGAGAGAATATTACGAAAGCCATAAATAGTAAAACCATACCGGAGGCGCCCATCTTCATCGATTGGAGGAGGGGTGATAAGGAGAATGTGAGTTGAAGGCCATCGCTTCTGAAATAGAATAGATATGAAGAAAATATATACATATGTATAAAGCATGAACAAAAGGGTAGTTTTATGTGCTGACACCAACAGCAAACAACTTCTGTTTCATGTAAAAGAAAAAGAAAAACACACTTTTGTGTGGTCGAAGTAGAGAAGCTTCAATATACACGTGCTTTACAAGTTTCCGAATAATGGTCGCTCCATACGAGTGCAGGTGCACTCGTACGATATCAACCATACAAAAATATACAACTTAGCTTCCGATTGTTTCTCATGTAACGGTCCTAAACTTATACAGACGTCCTCAAATGTCAAACATGAAAATGAAAACCACATTTGAGTAAATCGATAATCCCACCATAACTATCAACCATGTTTAAGTTGCCTCAAAATACGAAATCGAAAGGTGCCTACACTGATGTGGATATTAGGTTCATTATTTGTGACTAAGAAGGAAACCTAAAGAAAAGGATCAGATTCAACCTAATCCTGCGAGAATTTATTCATAACTTACAGGCTTGCAGCCTTCGTTTCTTCTATCATTTCCACTTTATGATTGCAACCACCATCAACATATAAACGATCCCTATTGGCCTAAAATATGAAATAGAAATCAATACCTTTTTTTTTTTCCTCCCCTTTTTTCTTCATTTCTCAGAGAGATTAAGGCTCTCATGCAAAAGCAATACCTAATAGCGGGACTTCTGCTAAGGTTACACCTATTAGGCATCAGATTCACATGGACCACATGCGATGAGTCAATGACCAATATGCATCACCGAATCGAAAATATCTAGTACTCCCGGACTACATTTTTATAATAGAAGATTTTGAGCATGAGAAACAAAAGCCTCACGAATGTTGGTTGTCACGTTTCTGACGTCTCCATCCAAACAAACCACGATTCTAAGAAGTTCCAGACAAGGTTAGCACCCGGAGGACCGGGTAAATTCGTTTAAGCATGCTGGAAGTGATCCATTGAAAGTATAATATCAAAGGTTATGCCATATGAGAAATCAATAAGATACACAAGAATTGAGAAACCAAACAAAAAAAATGAAGAAACAACCAGGCATATGGAGATGAAACTAAAGACATACAAAACCCAACAACCACGTAACCTGTGAAACTGAGGATCTTAAAGCTAAAACAACATTGAAATACTATTCAAGTCCTTTTTGAATTATGTGCCAACTTTTAGGGTCCCAAACTTAGGTAAGAAATAATAAATAAAAAGGTAAACTTTAGAGTCCCCAGCTTCCAATCCTTGAAACAAAATACAATACTCCCCCCTATACTATACAATACGTATACTATTATCAACGTGGCAGAAATTAAGAAAGGCCACCAATCCATTGCTCCTGTTGGCGCAATCAGCAATGACCTCCGCCTTTTATTTACAAAGAAAAAGAACAATTATTTTCGCCTTCACGTTTTCTCTTTTGGCCTTTTTCTTTGTTTTTGTCATTTTTTTTTAGAAGTGTTATTGACACTTTAAAAATCTTATTTTACACTCTTTATAAGTGTATTTTTCTTTTTTAATATAAAAAATTTGGTGCGTAGAATGAGATTTTTTTAGTGTTAATAAAAATGCCTTTTTTTTTTTTTTTTAGTGTATGCAATCCAAATGTCAAAAAAAAAAAAAAAAAAAAAAAGAAAACGAGTGTTGGGAAAGAAGGAGTGCGGAAATTATTTTCCAGAAAGAAAACCATCTAGAGGAAGAAGTAAACTCAGCAGCAAAGGATCCATTTTTCTGTGCAACAACGGCCGAGTGGCTAGAGGGCAAAAGACACAACCATACATCTTTCGATAACCTTATACAATTTATACCACCTCTTCGGATCACTATGTTTGATTCTATAACAAATTCATGATCCCATTTTATTAGTCAAGGGCAAAACCACAAGGCTTGATTCTACAAATATTATCACTTCAACAAACAATGATCGCCTTCTCGTGTCCATTTCTCCTATCCCCAAAAATCCAACAAAAACTGAATGGCACTGTGGCGATATTCCAAGCCAATATACATCTTCAACTCCGAAAATGAAGATTTTGTGAACCCTTTTTAAGGAAACTAATCAATATAGTCTGCTATAATATGATTCAACTGAAAATCTGCACCCTTACTATGTTTTGTGTGTGTGAAGAGACAAAAACAGGGTACCTTGAGAAATGAGACAATCGAGAGGAGATTCTGCTTGTACTCGTCGAGAGGCACGTGTTGAAAAGCAGAGCATCTGTCGGGAAGGCAAGCGTCATTCGCGCCAAAGAAAACGGTGATAGCAAGCGGCGGCTCCTCCTCACCTCCTTCAACACCGCCACCCGGAAACACCCTCTCCAAAACTTTCAAGGCCCACCTGGTGTTGTATCCACTGTACCCTCTCAGCACCACGTCCACCTAATCAAAACCCAATTCACAAATCGCACAAGAAAAGTCAAAGGCTCCAACTTCGGATCAAAACTGCAGTGCCAGATGTAAATTTGACGAGTCAGAAATACCGTGCGGGAAAAGTGGTGGGCGAGAGAGGCCCCCCAGCCGCCGTCTCCGAAGGACTCCTCGCTGATGGAGTCGCCGAAAAGGTAAATCTTTGGCCTCATAATTTGGGAAGAGTCGATCGCGGACCAAAATTGACACCTTTGTTTTTGCGAAGTATGTGGTTTCCAAGGGGATGTTATATTATATGTAGAAATATGACGATAGCTAGTACTTGTTGATGTCAAGATTCATGTGGCATGCAAGACGACAGCTCAAACCTCAGCTACTTCCATTTGTGATGACTGACTGTTGATGCGTTAGCCTCCTAGCTCTTCTCTCATACATCGATAGACTTTTTAATAAATTGCAATGCACCCAAGCCAAAAAGTTTGGTATGGAGGGGTGAGAGAGAAAGAGGAAACGAACATTATTTGTGGATTTATTCGAATTAGAATAATGTTAAGAAGGTTAAAATTTTAAATTAAATTTATGAGCTAAATAATGTGTTAGTTAATGATTAGATTATTACTTAAATATTGATTAACGTGTTTATTTTCTATTGGTGACACATCTGGTTTACAAATTTAATTTAAAATTTTGGTCTCACTATTCGAATTAGATTCTGTAAATCACATGATATAATAATTGGTTGAGTTTTTTTTTTCAAGTTACTAAAAAAACATTCAATTATCAATCATCACATTGTGATCTATAAAATTTGATCTAAAAACATATTTTTTCTAGATTTTCCTTTTGTGGAGTGATTAATACTGATGGTATCACAGGAAGCTTTGGTACCACTAAAATCAACTGGTAGTAAGAAGAACATATACGGCTTGTTTGGATATACTTTTAAAATAACTAAAAGTATTTTTGGTTAAATTGATTTGAGTTCCAAAACACCAATTAAGTGCTTCTTGAAAGAAACATCAGATATGTACTTCTTGTAAGAAGCATTTAAGGTGTATTTTTTAGGATCCACTTAGATTTTTACTAAGAATTGGTATCAAAAACATTTTCATCAAAAATGCTTTCAGTTATTTTAAAAGCACATCCAAACGAGCTCATAAAGTTTAGTAATTCTCAGCGTGAGATTTATGTTCTCAACATGATTTTTTATATGTAGGGTCATGATTTTAAATGTGGAATTTGCACTCTCTCTCATAGATGTAGAGTCATTTAAACTTAACGTCGACAACACACTTATTAAATGATGTGGGAACACGTGAGTTGTACGTTGGCTCAACATTCAGGTAACATGATATTATGAAAAGAAAAAAAAAATTGAGTTTTTATCATAAAATCAATTGACAACATGAAGAACATCCCAATTCCTTATAACACACACAAAATCCCTTAATTCTCTGTTGGTGGTTTTCCACTCTCCACAAGTATTAGAGTAATTATCTTGGTGCTCGTCTTTTAGAAAGATTCTTGTATACGATTGCTTGACCACATATTTGTTCAAGCATATACAAATCGAGACTCTTGTATTCGATTGCTAGACCACATATTTGTTCAAGCATATACAACATATTTGTTCAAGCATATACAAATCGAGACGCTCCTATATTTTCTTATCCTATAAATATAGTTTACAAATTTAGTCTACATTTCAAATTAAAAATCTTACTATTTTCTCTATGCACTTACAAAAGGAGTGGATAGAATTAAACAAGTGTGTCAAAGTTACCAGTTTTAATCTACAATATCTAGTACATTATCGATATCTGACCAAATTATCAACATATTTTTCACTGTGACTTGCTCAATCTCTCTATTTTATTTAGGGTTGAGATATCCACATACCCCATTTTACTTCTCACACACATTTTTGATTTTCAACCATCGGATCAGATGAATTGAAGAAGATCAACGGACATAAATTATTAAAGGATGTATGAGAAGTAAAACGAGATGTGTAGATAGCACACCTCTTTGTTTATTTAGCCTTTTAAGACTTCACATATCAAGAAGTCAAAAGCTTTGTCTTTTTCTTACAAAGAACTTATAGCTCAAGTAAACATGATTATATATTCTTGCACTGAAGTCTTGTGTTCCAATCTGGATAGTTAAACAGTCTTCAGAGATGATATATTTGCTGAACTGCTACTGATGGATTGGTGACATGACCCTGCTTGACTTTACATTAAATTGTTTGTAATGCGTGCTGTCATTCGTGGGTCCTTTGGCCTCTCCTCCTGTCTATCTCTCCCCACCCACCCACCCACCTAACCCAACGCCCCCACCACAACGGAAAATTAAGAACTTTATCAATGACTTCAACTCATCGACTTGGGGATGAACTGAAGGACCATGCATCAACTTTAAAGAGAGCAACTCAAATGCTAGCAAGTAAAGGTAGGATCCCAAAGGAAACTTAAGAACGACTTCAACTCATCGACTTGGGGATGAACTGAAGGACCATGCATCAACTTTAAAGAGAGCAACTCAAATGCTACTAGCAAGTAAAGGTAGGATCCCAAAGGAAACTTAAGAACTTTATCAATGACTTCAACTCATCGACTTGGGGATGAACTGAAGGACCATGCATCAACTTTAAAGAGAGCAACTCAAATGCTAGCAAGTAAAGGTAGGTAAACATATCTACCAAACAATTAATACATACATTCATTCTACATCTAGCAGTACTAATACTAATATTGATCGAGATGGTCAATTATCTCTTAATTATTTAGTGATATTTCTCTTCCCGATGTAAAAAAATGTCTCCAGCTCGACTTCATGCTCCCGTGTTGATGAAAAAACTGATCGATATGGTTATGCCATCGTCAAGTTCGATATACATTTGTCTCTTGAGGCATCTGAAGAGGCAAGAATAACTCTCTTGACCTATTTTAGTAAACCTACCGACACAGTACGTAAAGCCATACTAGGGTTTAGAAGCCAGGGATTGGAAATACAATTTGCAAAAAGAAAATTATCATATGCATGAATCGCAGTAGATACTTGCAGATAAATCAAAATGGATTTAATATTTAGAATTGGCACTGTCTTTTTACACAAAAGGTGTATAAGAATATAATAACTGGTGATGAAGCTCTGCACACCTTGAAACTATGATTACTAATTGAAAGAACGATTAAATTTGATGTTAAAATAATCTGGATTAATATTCATCATTTCCAATTGAAAAAAGTGTTCAACCATCTGTTGAACGTGTGGAGATCAACGGCCTTTTTGCAAGATTATAAAGTTTCCTTTCCTCTTATATGCCTTTCCCATCATACTATTAACATGCACATATCAATGATTCAGTAGCATGATTAACGAATGCCTTTTTGTCTAGTTTTAGGATTTACTAATTTGCACGCCCACAAAGCCACTGTAATTATGGCATCACATCTCTATTACTCAAGTATATGTTGTTAGGAGGATTAAGATCCAATGGTTATGAAATGGACAAGTGTCAAAAGATTATGAAGTTAGTTAAGTTGGTTATATTGTTACTGTAAGCTACCAAATGCTATTATAAATAGATTGTAACAAACCATTGTAAAAAAATAAGAAAATATACTACAATTCTCAACAGATTTCTCTCTAATATCTTGATCTTCTACTTCTCTCTCTATCCCTTTCTTCTTTCTTGCTTCTGTTTAACCTTCTTCTTCAATAACCTCTGATGGTTTACATATGTAAGCATAAATGAATGGTCGTAATGCATTGCTAAGTAAATGAATATTACATATCAACAATTATCAACATATGTAGAGTTGAAGTATCAACAAATACATGCAAGTTTGTGGCCCACGAGTGGGACTCAAGAGTGATAGCTTTGTTTGAATATGATATTTTACTCCAATGTCGATTCGTGGATCTCGTTTTCATTTGTTAGGTTTTGTGAAAGAAAGTCCACAACAGCCCCACTTGTTTAATATCAATCATCAGCAGAGCTATAATTATTGGTTAGTGCAATCCCAAAAGTTTGAGTAAAGCAAAACCGGCCAATTGGTTTGTAATTTACGTAGCTTTGTAATGTAACGTAATATAAAGGGTAATGTTAATGAAATCAATTATTTAGATTAAATTTTGTAAAAATATATGACGTGGTTGTTAATAATATGATTATTACTTACGTGTTGATTTTTTATTGGTGACAGTTCACATGATTTGTAAATTTGGTCTAAAAAATTGATTTACTTATTAGCATTACTCTTTTTTAAATGTGGGAAAGCAAAAGGTTCTTGAAATCAGATCAGGATCCTCTACTGAGCAAAGGGTGAGCATTCTCCTGACCAAGCCCATCGGGGGGTTGAAATTTTATCCAATGACTACAATTATTATAACTTTTAGAGGGGCCCCCTGTTTGTAGCCGTTGAATAAAATTTCAACGGTCCGATGGGCTTGGTCAGGAGAATCCTTTGCTTAGGAGAGGATCCTGATCCCTTGAAATCCAACCAATTCACTCAATAAGGGTTTGTATGTGTAGGATCTAGAATCAAAATGGAAGTTGTTTTCCCTGTCCCCACAATGAAGAAAATTCCTCATGCGTAGTCACTTTTCTTCTTAAAATGACAGTTGCAACTTGCAAGTGGGGTTGCGCCAAAGTAGCTACACCAGTGGCGTTAAAGCTATAAAATTATGATAACGTGTTTGTGATTCAGTTGGTTAAGAATATGTATTCGGTTTCTGAGAACACAAGCAGATTTTTTCTCAAAAACTTGCTTGTTAAAGAAGGGTCTCCAAAAGCTACCTCAAATTATGCTAACTATTTCGATGTGGGCAATTGAATATTAATACTCCACCATGCTGAGTTGCTAACGTACCCAACATCCATGTTGGTTCACCTCTATCGGCACTGACTTAGCGGTAGCCATTTCCTTCCCTTTGAGGTGGTTTCAGTCCTCTAGTAGTGCTCAATGACTCGATTGTAGAGGTCGCATGGTGAAACAAGGTTTTGATAAGAGTCGATTTATAGATTTTGCACCTAAAAACTGGCTTGGAAGAAGTGATGGCCAAGAACTCTTAAACCACTCCATAATATTCTAATTCTTTTGAATATGGGACCATTGGGTCAGCATTATATGTTTGGAATCCCGCACTCCTAAAGTTGTTTAAAAAAAGAAGAACGTAGAAAAAAAAATAAAAAATAAAAAAAGAAGAAGTTATAGAATCATCAAGAACAAATTAAACCTAGATACATTTTATAAAAATGAATTTAGCACATTTTTTGTGTGCACACTTCTATTTATTTGTCTAGTACCGAAGCAGAAAGAGGCAGAGTTAAAAAAATAAAAATAAAAAAAAAATAAAAAAAAAGAAGAAGAAGAAGAAGAAGAAGAAGTTATAGAATCATCAAGAACAAATTAAAGCTAGATACATTTTATAAAAATGAATTTAGTACATTTTTTTTGTGCATACTTCTATTTATTTGTCTAGTACCGAAGCAGAAAGAGGCAAAGTAAAAAAAAAAAAAAAAAGAAGAAGAAGAAGAAGTTATAGAATCATCAAGAACAAATTAAAGCTAGATACATTTTATAAAAAAGAATTTAGCACATTTTTTTTTGGGCACACTTCTATTTATTTGTCTAGTACCAAAGTAGAAAGAGGCAGAGTAGCCACCGAAGTGGATATTTGGTGAGCTATGTGCGCGCAAAACGAGGTTAAGTCTGCTCACAGAAAACGAGGTGGGCTTCTAGCACGAGAAATGAGGCTGAGTCTGCGCATGCAAAACAAGGTGGGCTCCGCACATGCAAAATGAGGCGACGTGGCACATAGAAAACAAGGTAGGCTTGCTCACGTAAAAAGAGGCAGGCTCCATGCACGAAAAAACTGCATGCAAAACGAGATGGGTCGACGCATGGAATGCGAGGCGGTCAACCATGGTTGGCGGGACGAAGCATTGGTGCCGAGATTGGGGCAATTATAAGCTGCTGTCAACCACGATAGAATTCACACTACAATCATCACTTACATTTTACATGAATTCTCAAAATCTCATGGTAAGGCGGAGGTGAAAGCAAATGGGTATTATGATGAACTTTGTACAAAATTTTAAACTTGATTAAAAATCGTGAGAATTAACACATGCGTTTTTTTTGGGAAAAATCCAAAATTTTATTTTCACGAAAATATTTGTCTCAAGCATTAAAGAAAACTTTCTAAGGCATATGGAATTGATTTTACCATTTACGGAGCCCAAAATGTATTTTTAATAGAATATTTAAGTCGAAAACTAAACAATAAGTGGAATAAATAGGAGCGATGCCCAAAACGTTGCCAAAATAGTGTTTCACTCTCAAGAATGTCAACGAAAAGTCTTACATAAATTCTCAAAACCTCACAGTGAAGACGAGATGAAAGCAAAATGGATTTTATAATGAACTTTGTACAAGATCGTAAAATTGACTAAAAACTATGTGTTAACAAATTTTTTTTAGGAAAAATGCAAATTTTTTATTCTCACGAAATATTTTTCATGCTTGTTAAGGAAAACTTGATAAGGCACTTGGAATTGGTTTTACCATTTATTGAGCCTCAAATGGGTTTTAACATAATATTTAAGTCGAAAACTAGACAATAAAGGGAATAAATAGCAGCGAGGCTTGAAAACATTGCCAAACTAGGGTTCACCCATTTTGGAAGTGCAAAAGCAATAAGAACATTTTCGAGATGGCGCCAAACACGCAAGACTCTCACCTCATCAATGGCGTCAAACATTCTCGTGACCATGGAGGAGCTTTGCGGCAGCATGCCGAAGCAGAAAGAGGTAGAGTGGCCACTGAAGGGAATATATGGTGGGCTCTGTGCATGCAAAACGATGTAGGCTCTGCTCATAGAAACGAGGCGGGTTCCATGCACGTAAACACAAAGCAGGCTTCGTGCATGCAAAACAAGTTGGGCCGGCGAATGGAAAGCGAGGCACACAAAAAGAGGCAAACTCAAAGCACATGTAAATGATTGCTGGCCGAACGAAATATTAGTGCCAGGGGTAGGGCATTTATAACCCGTTATCAACCACAATAGAATTCACACTAAAGTCATCCCTTTTAACATTGTAACCGCTTCATAAAATAAAATTGTGTTAATTTTTTTTTGGTATTTTAAGGGGTACTTCAATTTAGGTCTAAAAATTTGAGGAGTTATTGGATTTAGTTCAGTTTTTCTATTTTATGAAATTAAACTTATATCAAATTTACTCTTAAATCCACATATGCCTGAAAAAGAGGAGATTATATTTGTATAAACAACTTTTCTTTTTCATATTTGAGAAAGAGAAAAGTTTGGCTCCTTAAGTTTAAGGAGGAGTTTATCCTCAAAACACTTTGTGGCCTATATATACAATATCATGCTTATGATGGGAACTATTTATATTATAATTTACTCTGTAAATATCATCTCTACAAAAAATCAATTAAAACTAAGATCGTTTAGTTACTGAATTGTAGCAAATAAATAGACAATTCATAATACTTTTACCGAATTCGTCCATCTGTTTTTAAATAGTTCGATGATTAAATGATCTTAGTTTTAATTGATTTTATGTAGAGATAATCTTTACATAGTAATTTATAATATAAATTGTACTGATCATAAACACAAAATTTTGTAAATAAACCATGAAATATTTTAAGAAAAGTTGGTCATCTATTCTTAAGGAGCCAAGTATTTATCATAAATGACATGCACCCTTTGAAGTTGATGGGCCTATTGGCCATAACTTTTGGCCCAAAAATTACATAAGATCGAAATGGCGAGAATATCCTACTCAGTGTTCCATGAACACCTGATATCAGATCCAACGGTGTAAGTGAATAATGGAAAACTAACTCAGAATCAGACCGTCGATTTACCAGAAAATGCCTCCCCCACCAAATCAAGTTCTCCCGCCACCACAAGGCTCCGTCTCTCAGTCAATTGCCACCACTCTATCATCTGCTCTGCAACACTTCATCAACTCAGATAACCCTCCCCATGGCCAAAAGATCCATACCCATATTCTCAAATCTGGGTTCCGACCCAATGTCAATATTTCCATCAAACTCCTTATCCTCCACCTCAAATGCGGTTCATTGGCTTATGCACGCAAAGTGTTTGATGAATTGCCTGCACAAACTCTTTCCTCTTATAATTACTTGATTGGTGGTTACCTCAAACGTGGGAAGGTAGAAGAATCGTTTAGTTTGGTTCGGAGACTGGTTTTATCTGGTGAAAAGCCTGATAGGTATACGTTTTCGATGATCTTGAGAGCCTCTACTTGTGCTGGTATTGTTGCATTGCCATGTAGTTTAGGACGAGTAATTCATGGCCAGATGATTAGAAAAGACGTTGAGCCTGATGATGTACTTTATACCGCGCTTGTAGACTCTTACGTTAAGAATGGGAAGGTCCAGTATGCGAGGACTATGTTTGATATGACGTTGGAAAAGAATGTGATATGTTCGACGTCCATGATTTCTGGATACATGAATCGGGGCTCTGTGGAAGATGCTGAAGATATATTTAGGAAAACGGTTAAAAAAGATGTGGTGTTATTTAACGCAATGATTGAAGGTTACAGCAAATCGGTTGAATATGCGAGGGGATCACTTGAGGTTTATATTGACATGCAACGATTGAATTTCCTACCTAATCTCTCTACATTTGCTAGTGTTATTGGAGCTTGCTCAGTGTTGGCATTGTTTGAAGTTGGCCAACAAGTCCCTAGTCATCTTATGAAGACTGGATTGTTTTTGGACATAAAGATGGGCAGTGCTCTTATTGACATGTACTCAAAATGCGGAAGAGTTGAGGATGCTCAGAGAGTTTTTGACCACATGCCCGAAAAAAATGTGTTTTCATGGACTTCAATGATCGATGGTTATGGGAAGAACGGATATCCTGACAAAGCACTTGAGCTCTTTCATATAATGCAAAGAAAACACCAAATTGAACCCAATTTTGTAACATTCCTCAGTGCTCTCTCAGCTTGCGGACACGCTGGGCTTGTAGACAAAGGCATTGAGATCTTTGAAAGCATGGATAGGGACTACTCATTAAAACCAAGGATGGAGCATTATGCTTGCATGGTTGATCTCTTGGGACGTGCAGGAAGTTTGCGTCAAGCGTGGGAGTTTGCAATGGAGATGCCTGAGAAGCCCAACTCCGATGTTTGGGCAGCTCTTCTTAGTTCAAGCACACTACATGGTGATGTTGAGATGGCAAATATAGCTGCCAAGGAACTTTTTAAATTGAATCCTGATGGCCGGCCAGGGGCATATGTTGCATTCTCTAATACTTTGGCGACCGCTGGGAAATGGGAAAGTGTAATTGCGCTTAGAGAGAAAATGAAGTTAAGCGGGATATCTAAAGACACCGCCTGCAGTTGGATTGATACTGATAGTGGTTGATGAGCTTTCGTATGGTTGAGGACAAGTTCACTGCAAAGACTCAAGAGCACACGATGTTCAAGCTGTATGGAGCCTGAGGAAAAGCCTCCTAGCTCAGTTTTGAACCTGACAAACAAATTAACGGGTGCTAACTCAGCCGGTGTCTCATTGAGTTCGTGCAGCGGGACTGCTCCGGCTTTCGGGGAGAATAGAATGTTGCTCAATTTGACAAGCCATAACCATGTCCAGAGGTAATTTTCTGTGGAAAGGGGATACTTATTCGTGTGCAGCAAGAATCGGATTGCAGTCTACTGTTAAGTTATACTTTAGCAGTCAGTAATTCAAGTTTGTTCACTCTCAAAGCTAAACCACAGTATGATTTGCTGATCACAAATTAAATAGTTACCTAATTGTAATTTTACATTGAAACGCATAGGGGTAATGTTATGGAAACCATTTATTTCGACTATATTTTGAAAACCACGTCAACTGTTGATTAACGTGCTTATTGTTTTATGTTTATTGGTGATACATTATATAATTTGCAAATTTGATCTAAAAAATTGGTTACTTAGCATTACTCAATAGACAATGTGACAATCACAACTTCTTTCACCATCAAAATGTCAATTTTAATGGGCGTCTACTAGTCAAATACAAGTCCAACAGCTATGGAATTCATGTGTATCTTTTCATCTGAAGCCTGGAGTTCTTCCTCTAATTTCGTTTATAATTATTTGGAAAAAAAAATTCGTTTATAATTAAAAAAAAAAAAATTATTGAATACAGCCAAAAAATAATAGAGTTATAACGGCTATTGGATTCCTTGAATCATTATATTTGCATATTAAATGCAAGTGCATGTGGAGCTTGGAGTCGGAAAAGGAGGTTCGTTGGTCAAGAAAAGTGGGAGAACGAGCCTGGGAATGTGTTATTGGTTGGTTCTCATCCAAAAGAATTATCTTCGGATCCTCTTTGTGAGGATTCCAGAGATCTATGAATTGTCTCTGTTCATCATACATCATGCGGTCAGTTTTTAGCAGATACTGTTTTTGTTCAATTTTAAATAAAATAATTTAAAATAATTTCAGACCGCATAATGTACGATAAACAGACACGATTCACGGATCCCTAAAATTCTCACAAAGATGATCCGGATTCATTCTCAAGTTCGGAGATTTTTTTTATTTTTTATTTTCCAACGATTTGTTTATTTTTACAAACCTGAGTTTGATCAAAGTAAATAAATCAATGTGTTTTGCTCTATGAATATAAGTTTGTATTTTTCTTATTTGGATAAATATATTGCACGTTTAATTCCAATAAATAAGAATGGAAATCGTTTTAAATCTTGAGTTTTATATGTTTACAAAAATATGCCCTTATCGTAATTATCAAAATGAAATAAAAAACCACATAGAGGATAAATAAATTGTGTGGTGCAGCTGATCTTAACCGTTGCTACTGTGAATTCCACAAACATGAACAACCAATTAAATGATGTGCCACCAATAGGAATGAACACGTTTATCAATGTTTAAGTAGTAATTCAATTATCAACTTTCATGTCATTTAATTTATAAAGTTTTGTTTACAAATTTAATCTCCCTAATATAAAATATATAGGAATTCTTGTAGTTTAGAGGAAAGCCGGCAATAGAATACAAGTCCTTGTTTGACTATATACACCCCCAAACTATACCTATTCCGTAGTCATATCGTTTCCTACAATCGACAACAAACCAAACGAAGTTGCCTTCCGTAGTTATCGTCTTCCGCAACCTACAAACTATAAAGAAGTAGAAGAGAGACAAGAACACCAAAAGACAAGCGATGAGCTGCTGCTGCGGAGACGATTGTGAATGCAGGCCTCTAGGGTTTCTCCTCGGCCTGCCCTTCGCCTTCGTCGCTCTCATCCTCTCCGTCATCGGCGTCGTCATCTGGATAGTCGGGTTGGCGTTGACTTGCATATGTCCGTGCTGCTTGTGCGTGACGATCATAGTTGAGTTTGCTCTGGCGTTGATCAAGCTTCCCTTTTCGATCATGAAGTGGTTCACATCTAAGATTCCTTGTTAATTACTATCTGATACGTAGCGTGTAATCTAATAGTGGTCTGTTCATTTTTCAACCACAGTTTTTTTTTTTCTCGATCTTTCCACTTTCTGTTGATTTTTTTGTTGAAGATTTGTTCAAACATTGCAAAAGAAAGCCTTACGAATCCTTGTTCGATGAATTAGGATAAATTTATGAAATTTGGGTTGGCAATTAGAAAGTTTCATTAATTATTTGTTATTACAAATCTTCATTATTATTCTTTTTTTTTATTTTTAGAAAACTTCGACAATGCAAAGGAAATTTTATTGCTCGACTGAATTTTTTTCCATAGCGTGAGCATTTGTTTACTTACTGCAATTTTATTGGCAGCAATACAATTTCAACATATATTATTCTGAACTTAATTGGGTGAGATAAGGCTCAATGAATTCATTCAACATTCAAGTGTAGAGTTTTATCCTAAGAGGCTTCGTTGCTATCAATAGTTCACAAATTTTACATCATAATTTGCTGTGGTACCTTTCTAATATGGAGTTCCTATCCTGGTAGGATTAGGAAATAGTTACCAAGAAACATGCAATATTCTTGATTTTGGGACATAATACTTCTTTGTGGTTACGGAAATGATAAACACACAACAATTTTAGCACATATATTCATGTATAATCATGTCCATTGTTGCAGCGTCTTCTGACTTGTACCTCCTTACACTACTTCTTGTTTAATCATTTTTTGCTTATTTGGAAGTGCTTTTAATATGATTGAAAGTGTTTTTGGTGAAAATATTTTTGAAGTCAATCCTTAATAAAAATTTAAGTGGATTCTGAAAAAAATACTTTAAATGCTTCTACAAGAAGCAAATATCTGGATCATCTCTTCCACATTTTACAATATGTACAGAGAATGTCCCTACGGGAACATCCAATAAAATTTGTAATTACACCAACCACAATAGTATGGCCCATTTACAAAGATGACATGTTAAATTTCTTTGGCTTAATCCCTTTTTATAGAAGTAATAAATTAATCAAATCTACAACTTAAACTTTTAATATGATGCGAAGTTCTACAAAAATCATCACTAAATGTATTTTCATGATGTAATTGGTTTTTCAAATTTCATGCAGCAGGAGTAGGACATGTTGATTATTTTGTATTACAGCATTGTATTCCGGGCACTCATGGCTTTGCCACCAACTACTGAAACAATATTTCGGACCCGAAACCGAAAGTACCAATTCTAAACTACATCAGTGCATGACTGGAATTTAGTGGATCAATTTGAACTGCCAAAAATGCAAAGCATATATAAGCCCTTTTATCTAAAATGGTTCCTGAGATTTGCATAACACATCAATTTGGTCTCTGAGATTGAAAATCAATAGAAATGGTCTCTAAGATTGTCCACTATCCATTATTTTGGTCATTCTGTTAAAAACTCCGTTAAGTGTCTCAAAGCTCTTGCCCGGAAGTTTGAGCAATTTTCAAAGCTTCATAACTCAATCGTTTCTTAACCAAATTTGACCCATAATATATCAAAATGAAGATAGGAAAGTGTAGAACAAGATTATACTTATTTGGAAGCCCAATGGTTGCCAAAGATAACTGGAAAATAGTCTGAAAAGTGACTGGTTTGCAGGAAAACTGCAAAAACTCGCCGGAAACTGGGTTAACTTTAAACGTTCATAACTTCTTCAATACCCAACGAAATTGAGTGATTCAAAAACGAAAATCATACTTCTCGACGAGATGAAGAGAATGGTACCTTCTCGAAGCTAAATCACCATGGTTTGGCTGGAAAACAGATCAAAAGTGGTTGTCTTGGTCATCAAGTTAGCCACTTTCGAACCGTTTTTCGGTCAAACCATGGCGATTTAACCATCGATAAAGGTAGCATTCTCTTTATCTTGTCAAGAAGTATAATTTTTGTTGTTGAATCACTCGATTTCGTTGAGTATTGAAGAAGTTATGAACATTTAACGTTTACCCAGTTTCCGGTGAGTTTTCCAGTTTTCCTGCGGACCAGTCACATTTCAAGCTACTTTCCGGCCATCTCCTGTAACCATTGGGCTTCCAAATAGGTATAATCTTGTTCTATACTTTCCTATCTTCATTTTGATATATTATGGGTCAAATTTGGTTAAGAAACGATTGAGTTACGAAGCTTTGAAATTTGCTCGAACTTCTGGGCAAGAGCTCCGAGACACTTAACGGAAGGACCAAAATAATGGATGGTGAACAATCTCAGGGACTATTTCTATTGATTTTCAACCTCAGGGACCAAAGTGATGTATTATGCAAATCTCAGGGACTATTTTGGCTAAAAAGCCCATATGTAATTATGTATAGTAGAAGGACTTGTAACCGAAAATGTACATCTGATATTTGACAAAATAGAATATAGCATAGAAATGAGTGGCTCCACTACTAGTAAACCTCACACTACTTGGACGTGAATCTGATTAAGTTAGGAACAATATCGATGTTACACAATAGATCGTCGATCTGTCTTTGTATTTTTCCCTTTTGTTATACATATTCGTGAAATGACTGCCGGAAATTGCAGACGTTAATATCTAGTTGGTCTTGCTGGAATAACCATTTTTCCTCTGTTTTCGCAAGTAAGCTTTTTTCTTTCTATCTCTAGCTTTTTCTTTTTTATTTAAGTTGGTTCCAGATGTTGAATGCTCGTTTGTGCAATCAAGCGTCACAAAATTGCCTTTCTTTTGATTAACCAAGTCGGACGCCTCTCTTAACTTAGTTTTATGTTGTTACGTGATGTTATATTGGAATAGTTTCCTTAGTTAATTTCATTTGTTACAACTGTTGCAGGTAAGGCTAGGGAAGAATGGCGTCGATGAAGTTCTTGGATTGGGATCGTTGTCTAACTATGAGAAGCATGGCCTTGAGCGCGTGTTTACATGTAGGGAATGGATATGGCGGAATGGGAGTCATTCCCCATTCTTGATTATTCCTCCGTTTACCAACTTAAGCGGAATGCACAGTTCTATGGGCCCCACATAAAATCAGGATTTCAATTCCTGATATTGTCGGAATTGAATTAACTAAAAGAAGGTAGTATTTGGATTCCGGAGAGAAGGCTCCATCCGGAATCAAATTTTCCTCCCCAAAATACCCTGCATCTTCTGTACTCATTTCCATCTTCTCGTTGTCCTCCGCCATCCTCTCCAGTAGCCTTCTGCTCCTCCGCCACCTCCTCTCACTCCACTACCTCAAAATGATCTTCACATTTTGTTCTTCCCACATTTTCTCAGCAACCAAACAACAGAAATCGAAACCAATTCATGAAATGCCAACACCCAATTCAAACACCGAATAGTTTCACGATTTAGAGCTTGGATTACTACCCAATCTACATTATTCAGCAATCCAAACAGAGCCTAAGTAAGAAAATCCAGAAGCAATCAAAGCTACAGATTGCAGATTACCTCTCATTCCGTACTTGAATGTTCTTCATCTGAGCTCTGTAGTGGTTCTCTATGAACTGCTTGGCCGCCGCCACCTTCTCCAGCGTCAAACTCGACCCCAACACCTCCTCATTATGCTCCTCCCAATCCTCCATTCTTTCTCTCCCTTCATTCTCACGGTATCGTCTGTTTCGATTTGGCGCTCGACTGCTATTCAACCCAACAAACCCATCGCTCCCTACGCTTCATCTTCATTGTCTTCACCACACCTTCCACCTCCCCTTGTAGCCATGCCTACTGCCTCACAAAACCCAACCACATATCCCCCGAATCGGATTCAAGAATTTATCACCGAAACCCCAGATAATAAACCCATAGATCTGGTGAAGAAATCACTCAAAACCCAGAAAATCTTGAAATTGAAATACTTGGCAGGGAGGAGGGGTGGTGATTATGGGGTAGGGTGAGTGGGAAGGATGAAAGCGACGGGAAAAGGGGAGGGAAGAGTTCTTATTTTATGCTAGGGAAGTCTGATAGATGAAGGTTTACAATAATGACATTTTGTGAAAATGTTATTTAAAAAACATGGGAAAGAAATAAAACAAAAGGAATGAGGGCATTTTAGTAATCATATTGATTTCTATTCCGATTAAGGTGAATTAGTAAACAACTTATATGAATATCGTTTCAACAGAAATCTAATTATGACTCCTTCTCAATCCAATTTCTTCTCAATTCAATTCCTCCTCAATCCAATTCCTTTATTTTGATTACAATTATGTAAACAAGCCCTGAAAGTCTGATACCTGAGCTTAAAGCCTCCATAGAGAAGGGAATAAAGTTAATTTGCTACAGAAAGTTGACCTGAAGAACTGCACAAGCTTTCTTCATGTTGGGAACCATAATATTTTTGTTCCTAAGTATTTCAAAATGGATCAGGATCCTCTCCTGAGCAAAGGGTGAGGATCCTCCTGACCAAGTCTATCGGGTCGTTGAAATTTTATCAAACGGTTACAACCAGAGGATCCCTCTAAAAATTATAATAATTATAACCGTTGTATAAAATTTTAACAGTCCGATGAACTTGATCAGGAGGATCCTCACCCTTTACTCAGGAGAGAATCCTGATCCTTTGAAAATGGGATTTAATTTCGACGCATGACAACGATTTTAGACGTTACCAATTCCATCCATCATGGTGTCAAATCAGAAACTTTTTGATACTGCTTTTTCATGTTGGGAACCATAACATTTTTGCTCCTAAGTATTTGAAAATGGGATTTAATTTCGACACATGGCGACGATTTAGACGTTACCAATTCCATCCATCATGGTAATCAGAAACTTTTTTATACTGTTTGTAGGTAGATCAATTATGATTTCTTAATCCACACTTAAAAAACCATTATCATATTTTAGTCCAGTTAATAATCCTCCATAGAGAAGGGAATTAAGCTTGCTAAAGAAAGTCAAGCCAGCCTTCAACCACAATATTCGTTCCCATACGCGAGTTTAGACACAAGAATCTCTCCCTGCAACGGAGACGTTGGCTAGAGATCTTTCAATTCTATGGGTTCATCTTTCCAACAATATTATTGGATGAACTTCCTCCTCTTATTAGTTTTCATACTCATCCCTCATGCCTCATGCTGCTTCAGTTCAATTTTCAGCTTTGGCGATTCACTAGCTGATACCGGAAACTTAAAGATCAGCTCTCCTAACGAGACTATCCACTTCTTCTTCCCTCCATATGGTATGACCTACTTTCATCTCCCCACCGGACGCTGCTCCGATGGTCGCTTAGTCATAGACTTCATCGGTATGCATCCACTTACAGTATATCTTACATTTACAAATTTATCAGTTTCTCAATTCACATTATCGTTTTCAGCTGAATATCTCGGACTTCCGCTTGTTCGACCTTATCTCGAAAGCCAAAAAAGTATCCAAAACTTTGAAGGGGGAGTGAATTTCGCCGTGGCAGGAGCCACGGCCCTTGACGCCACCTTTCTTGAAGAAATGGGAGACTCTAATCCACGTACCAACAACTCTCTGGGAATTCAAATGGACTGGTTTAAAGAAATTCTTCCATATTTTTGCAACATATCTTCAAGTAAGTTTGGAATTCCTTCCCATGCTTATCATAAAGAGAATAGTATCTGCATTCCCCTCCAGGATGAGCTCATTCTCTCACTTGCAAATACCATATTTTTACCATATAAATTTCGTAATTGAAATAGTTCAAATTCTTAATCTTCATTTGAAGATTAACCCTAAAAAAAACAATTTGGATCGGAGATTGTTTAATCATTTAAATGTATCAAATAAATCAAAATTGTAGGTGCCAAGTAACATATTCATGATGGACCGTTGGTTTATTTGAAACATTTGAATGACTTCACGATCTCCGATTCGAATGATTTCTTGTAAGGATGATATTCACATGATGATTAAGAAATTGAACGGTTCTGATTATGAAATTTTTACGATCAAGATACATTATTGTAAGTGGGGGCAGAGGAGAAGGAATGAGCTCAGTGACGGAAATAGGATTTGAATTCACTGGGGTCATGATAAAAAAGTAGATGTGTTAACATTTTGTTACTTAGATATATAATTCACGATTGGTTCTTATATTTGACTTGTCATGTACGATATCATTATCAATAGTGTCATTATTTATTTCAATGTATACAACCAAATTATAACCATACAATGATCTTAAGTTCTTAACTGTATAATACTAGATTTTTTTTTTTCCACTTAAGCAGCCACTACCTTTAATTTGACTCCCATAAGTAAATACACCAACGTTTGTGAAAGATTATCGATCAATCATTTCAATTGATTGAACTCACTGTGAAATATTGTTAATTGGTAGAGTGTTTTGATAAATAATGGAAATCAAAAGCATGCAGGCATAAACTTGAACTGAACCTAAATATTGGAAATTCTTGTTGGCGTGTGGAGATCAATAGCAAAATTTGTGTGGAGTAATATAAAGTTGTTGGGGTCAATGTGAACTCATTGACACCCCCCGCCCGCTACTGAATAAACCTAAATATTGGAAATTAGGTTGGGGTGTGGGGATCAATAGCAAAATTTGTGTGGAGTAATATAAAGTTGTTGGTGGGTCATGCGAACTCATTGACACTTTAACTTTAACACCCAACGGGCCCACCCCCAGGAGCAATATAAAGTTGTTGGTGGGTCATGCGAACTTATTGACACTTTAACACCCTAGGAGGCAAATTCTCTATCCTTTCACTTTTCGTGTCTTTTCGTATTATTTTATTTTGTGTGGTCACAGTTAATATTTTATATTATTTTTTTATAAGGATAATAAGACAAAAATGAATAGTAATATAAAATGTTGACATCACTTAACTGTGACACACAAACAGAAGAGCACAGGAAGTGGGAGGACAGAGAATCTGCCTCCCACCCCCAGGAGCAATATAAAGTTGTTGGGGTCCATATGAACTCATTGACACTTCCCCCTCTCTACGCTATAATGAGCTCATCTCCAGCTTTGTAAATGAGAGATATTAAGTTTGAATATCATGAATAGCGAGTTCAGTACTATTTTATTCTCACACCTCTTAAGGTAAATGTATCCTTGTATCAAGGAAAAAAAAACATAAAAATTCATTCCAATCCATGAAAAAATTACTCTTAGAATAAAACCTTGTGTAAGATTAAAAACTAACTCTAGTTCTTGGCATTTAATCGTAACTTTTGGAAATTAATTAGGTTGTGCATGATGCCTGTCTGATCGATTCTTATTGCAGATTGCAGTGAATTCCTTTCGGGCTCTCTAATTCTCATGGGAGAGATTGGAGGCAATGATTACAACGATGCCTTGCTTGGCGGGAAAAGTATAGAACAGGTTCAAGAATATGTGCCATTGGTGATAGAAGAAATTGGTTTATCCATCAATGTAAGAGTTTGAAAAGCTTGGATCACAATGGTTCTAAAAAACGCGATCTCCTTTAGGCTTGTCTAACTTTTTGTGCTGCATTGCTTTGCAGGAGTTAATCGAGCTTGGGGCCGCGACGCTTTTGGTACCTGGAAACGTTCCAATTGGTTGCCTTCCCATCTATCTCACAAACTATGAGGGTTCAGATAAGAGTGACTACGACCCTTCAACTGGTTGTTTAAATTGGTTAAACAAGTTTGTTGAGTATTACAATGAGCAGCTTCAAACAGAACTAAACCGCATTCGTAGCCTTCATCCTCACGTCAACATCATTTATGCAGATTATTACAATGCTATGATGTACTTATATCATTCTCCAGAACAATTTGGTACTTCAACTCTCAATTAATTTTATCCACGTTTGTTTTCATGTTTTGTTAAACGATGAAGATTCAAACTTCATGTGCATGTATTTTAGTCACTACTCAAAACTTAGTTTTTTCATTAGGCCTTATGAAATAGCTCGCGGATTTTTGGTGCAATGTTTTCAAATGCTGAAGCTAACCTGTTTACGATAAAAAAATTTGATTCGTGTAATTGCAGGATTTATCGGGGGAACTCCAAAAGCGTGCTGCGGAGGAGGAGGGACATACAATTACAATTCATCAGCACAATGTGGTATGCGACAGGCAAGTGCTTGTCAAAATCCTGAAGAGTTTATCAGCTGGGACGGTATCCACTTTACTGAAGCAGCGTACAAGTGGATAACAAATGCTTTGTTGAAAGGAAATTACACCGATCCTTGTATTAGTTCCTTGTGTGTTTCCACATTGTGATATGTATTGTGTACTTCTCCACCTGTGCTTATAATTGTTAGTTTGGTTTTGTTGGTGACACGTTACATTGTCTACACATGTGATCTAATTAGATAGTCTTTCTAACATTTTTTTTTTGATAAATGTGATGAGTTGTTCTTATCGAAATGAGAATGAGTCATATCTTTAATAGAAAAGTGATAAAAATGTGGTATGTAAAATATGATGAAAGTAACATTTTTACCGTCCTAATAGGATTTTCAGAACTATTTGGTCATAATGGCAATTCCCAATGCTGACATGCTTTGCACAAGCCAGCTCAGAGTTGCAATTTTATACAATAGCCTTGAAGAAGCAGGGCCCTTCAGTATACTACTTTACCTTCCTTTTTATACGGCCGAACACAAGAATCTCTCTCTGCAATAGAGACGCCAAAGATCTATCAATTTTATGGATTCGTTCTTGAGCTTGGTACCACATATTTGTAACTAAGCATGACATTAAAATGATTGGTTATATGAGATCGTTGAGTTTGATACTATACCCACATGGAACACCCTACTCACAATGGATATGTAGCTAATAAACATTTGATATTTAAAACAATTGTAAGTACATTATAGTGAAATTGGTTGCAAGTACTATCCAAAACAAGGCAAACACATATTCATGATGAATATCGGGTGCAATTTAGATTAAAATTGTTGACAAAAACAACAAGATCTTAAAAAAGGGAGAAATATGAAGAAGATCAATTTTCAAATATTGAACAAATGTTATAACGAAATGAATATGGCATGAGCAAGTTGAATCTTGAACAAATGTTATAACGTATTTTATTTTTTCACGCTATTATTTGACGGAAAGATAGATCAAAATTGACATAATTACCACAATATTTAGCTTGTAACTAATATAACAGTTGTATACTGCGCTTAAATAAAAGGAGTACAAATTAATATATAGAATTGCTTTCATAGACTTGTAGATGGAAAGCGGTTGTCTCCTCAGATAAACTTATAGTTGCAGGGCACATTTATCATGTGGATTAGTTTTTTTCTATTTTTTGTCACGTGCTGTTATTTGACAGAAAGGTGGAGACTTCTTGGTTCTTGCACGCTAGGACAAGAACCAGTATTTTTCTAGCTACCTTGTGCTTAGAGCCATCTTCAATTGACGGGATTATATTTAGTCTTCGTCTAGATTATAGTTCTGCAACAAATTATTTTTTAATGAACAGTATCATGTCATATTTATATATTATTTCCAACCAAAGGGGACTATTTTTTAGCCCTCTCAATAATTTATTATTTGAAGTTTATTCTTTAATTTTATTAGTTAATTGAATTAAACTACCATATTAAAATAAGGTTTTCAGACATATTTTGAGTGTCACTTGTCACTAAATGAATAAGCCTCCTGACATATTTTGAGTGCCACTTGAAGATGTGGCCATTTGAAAATTATTGAAAAATTAAAGTAAAGATTATTGAAAGAGGTTAGAGAGGGGTGTGTATGAAAAGAGTGTTTGAGGTGAATAGAATGTGAAGAATTGAAATAAAATGAGATAGGATAGCATGAAAGGGTGAAAATGATGTGAGAAATGGTGTAGAAATGTCTTATGTATTTATAGGAAAAAAATTAGAATTTTTTTTTTTAATTTGGTCTTAAAAAAAAAATCCAGCTTTGCCCAACTAAAGAGGCTAGCTAGTTGGCTAAAGATGGCCAACTCGCTGGCTATATGGCTGGATTTTGGCCCATGTGTCCCAAGAATTTTTTTACCCAGACCTCCATTGGAGATGAGTTTTCTGTAAAAAAAAAAAAAAAAAAAAAAAAAAAAAAAAAAAAAAAAAAAAAAAAAAAAAAAAAAAAAAAACCTATCCTTTTGGCCTATGATCTTATGGCTCATCCAGTTAGAGATGGCTTAAGGAATCAACGCCGTTGCTATAATTTTATTTTGACAAAAATTATATTCATTTTCATAAAAAATTAGTCAACCTTAAAAGAGAGGGAGTGTGTGTCTCTCTCGATCGATCAGCGGTAGAGAGAAAGATACTTCCATGGCTAGGGCAAGTTTGGTGAACGTCGTGGTCGTCCTCCTCGTAACAGTTGGGATCACCCCGCATGCGAATTGTTGCTACACATCAATCATTGGGTCTGGAGATTCACTTGCTGATACTGGCAACACATACACCGATGCCGTTGACCGCCATGACGATCCATTCCACTTCTTCTTCCCTCCATATGGGAAGATCGACCTACTTTCATTGCTTCAGCCACCGTGCAACTCAAAGCAGCAGCTGCTTTGGCCTCAAAAGCTCAAATTTTTGTTCTGCTTTTTTCAGGGCTTCAGCTAACGGACAACTGCGAGGCCCAGAAAAAGCAATCCCGCCCAGAAACGTTCGGAGCCCTGCGGGAAAATGAGAAAAACCCCATGGGAGAGAGTTTCAAGGAGGCATGAAAGAGAAGAGAGAGAATATCATACAAAAGTCAATTTGGAAGTAATTGATTGAATTAATTAGAGCAGAATAAATTAAAAGATTTGGAATAAATTAAAAAAATTGAGCTTAACTAAGATTATTGCGAATTACATGTGGCAATCTTTGAAAGGGATGATGGGCATACCGAGAGTTAATGGTGGTGAGCATAAATGTTTGCTTATGCAATACATCTCCAGGTCAATTGCCAAGCTATTTTCTTGGGTGGTGTTGTTATTTGTATATACTTGTCCCTACATAATAGTAAGTACACATGTTATTAGAGAATGTGTGTATTTTATGTATCCAAATATTTTAATTTTTAATTTTTTTATCATTTAGATTTAAGTAGAGGTGGGCTCAGGCTGGGCCGAGTTTGAAATTGGAGGAACCAAACATGACCTGTTCGTAAATAAAATAGGCGGGATGGGGCGGATTGCATTTTTAAGAAATAGAACTGGATCTAACCCGACCCAATTCATACGGACCAGTTCCTGCAGGTCCACGGATCCTTTTGTTTTGTTGTTTTTAATTTTAGTTAACAGGCCTTCGGCCTTTTGCCACATGGGTCCAGTAATAATAATAAAATTCGAGTCCAGATTAACAACATGTTTTGTAAACAGGCCTTCCGCCCTGTGCTTCATTTTAAATCAGAGGCTGCAGCCTACAAGCCTACAACCAACAGAAGGTTATGTCCACCGTCCAGCAGCAATTACAAAGTTCACCGCAGCAACCGAGATGCAATTACAAATTTAAGTCCAGCAACAACCAAGAAGCAGGTTCAGTTCGGTGTTCACTGCAGGAAGCAATTGCAAAGTTCACTACAGGTTTCTGTAATCTGTTTTGCTTTGAAAAATTAACAGCGGCAACACAATAGAGGTGGTTGTGGAGGACATGGTGATGTAGCCGCTTACATGGCCGGCAAGAGGTTAAAAATGACATATACTGAAACCCTACGTTGATATTCAAGTAGGCATTTTATTGATATAAATGCGTCCAAAGATGCGGCCGTAAAATCAGATATTTGCTTCTGTAAATTGCACAGATACAAATTTGATCCAGAGTTAGACAAAATATACTCTCGTAGCATTTTTCAGAGAGTGCAACGAAGAACTCAAACATCGAGCCTTTTTCCTTGTAATGTGTTAACCCTATTTTGGGCCCAAACAAATTGATTTGTAATGGATTTGTGTTAGTGCCTTTCCATAGTTTTTGACTAATAGGTAAGCTTTGTACAAAGATTGTATATTTAGCATCAATGAAAATATTCCTGCAGAACATATTCAAATGATCCAATTTTACATGGTATCAGAGCTAGGTTTTCCGTAGCTCTGCTCTGGCTTGCTTCCATCAATTTTCCTCGAGCCTATACTGCTAGTTATTTTTTTCTTTCATTTTTCTTACTTTGTGTCGTCAATTCCAGCCATGGTAATAACGACCAAAGCTCAAATGGAAGCAACCCAAAGTGCTCTAATCCCATTTTCATTCATATATTCGTCTCCAATGGAGACATATATACATGCAACCTGGTGCAAATTTCTCTCTGACACCCAATTTCAACAGATCTTTTCCATCACAAACAACAAGTGCACTACGCCGTTAACTGTTCCTCAAACCAATGTCGCAGGCAGTGAACCAATTTTATCAAAATCTTCAGAGCACCCTCGTCAATGGCTCATTGATAGTGAAGCGACGAACTACACGTCCTCCCAGCACTTGCTCGACACCACCACCAAAACTTCACTGCCACCGGTTATGTTACCTAGCGGAGAGAAAGCTCCTATCACTTCTATTGGCAATTTACCTTGAAATACATATATTCGATTGAAAAATGTTTTGGGTGTTTCTAGCTTTAAGTTGACCTTACTGTCCGTCCGTAAGCAAGATTACAATAGGACTGAGTTATTGTGACGTTTTTTTTTTCCATATTGACATATTTTGGATGACTTAGACCGTCTTTAAAGGAGATGTCAAATATGTCAAATAAGATTAAAAGATATTCATGTGTTTTCCAATGGATATGCCATATATGATGTGGTATGTGAGTCATTTGACTCCTTACTTTCTAGTTGCTTTTTTTTACAGCAAACAAAGAAGGAGTCAAATATATTTAATTTATTTTTTTAATGCATGGATCCCATTAACAACCAATATAATACAAATTAAAACAAATTTTGATTATTTTTTAGTAGTTAATGTAACTCTAGACCCAATAAAATAAATATTTGACATATTCATTAGAAAATAAGAAGATTTAGCACTTTTATTCAATTTTGCTACATCATCCATCAAATAAAATTTTGACATATCATATTTGATATATCCTTTGAAGATGCTCTTAGTTACAAAAAAGACGATTGGTTTGGGTAAACAACATGGAGGCCTCTACTATCTTGTGGTGTTGGCCACTAAAGAGTCCCATCCCAAAAATAAGCCATCTCGTAATCTTGTTATCATTTCTTCCGATTTTTGGCATCATCGTTTGGCCACATTTCTTCTAGTCGTTTGAAATTCTTATCTAGAACTTTATCAAAGATTCCTTAATTTGCCCTTTGGCTAAACAAACACGACTTCTTCTTGTGACGAGTGATCTATTTCTAGTTCTCTTGGTCCCTTCTCCCTTATACATTAATGTGACATTTGGAGACCTCACATAACCACTTCTCTTACAGGACCATTTTGTTTTTCGACCATTGTCGACGACTTTTCATGATATACATGAGTGTTCCTCATGAGCCATAAAAAGGGACCACCCAAGTCTGGGTATGTGGTGCAGGATGAGCAGTTGCCGCTGCACTGTTCAGTCATCCTGCAAACCAAAAGAAGACGAACGAAACGGTGTGTTTTGGATAAGTGAGATGAACAAGAGGGCTACTTTTTCTTTAAATGAAACGGTGTGTTTTGGCCATGTCGTTTAAATAAAAAGGTGTGCCTTGATGCACGGTTTGAAAACACGTGTTCGACTTTCACAAGTGTTTATGTCTGAGTCATTTAAATGAACGCACGCCTCGACATTTTTTTATTAAATATATACAAGTGTTTGACTTTCAAATTCTGTCTGCTATCTTTTTCTCCACCACCATTTAATTCTCCTTTTTCTAAATTTAAGGAAGTTTTTTTTTTTTTTTTTGAACAAATTTTATTATCTAACTAAAGGGAAAAGAGTTAGACTTACCCTCACAATGAGTGAACAATAATGTAGTTTAAATTCATTTTAGCGAGAATCAAACTTAAAATCTATCACTTACAAGTGAAAAAGAATACTATTACACTATAGTATTTTGTGCCAAAGTTTTTAAGTAAGTTAAGTTAGTTTTTTATTTTAATCTAAATAAACATATAAAATTTTAAATTCATAATAGAGTATAATTTTTATTAATTTATTATGATTTATTATATTGTTTGTTCTTTCATATTTTTTAGCTTCATCAAGATATGTTTTTTATTTTGATTAATTGATATGCGTATAATTAGAAATACAAAACAATATTACATGAAAAAATCATCGTCAATTAATACAAAAACTGTAAAAGAAAAGTTGTAGTTCATCATTTAATTATTTAATGTTCATTTTTTTTTCTTAGTGTTTTTATATTAGGATCACCCAATATTAAAATCTTGGATCCGTCACTGGGCATGGAGGACAAAGAGACAGTAATAAACGGTTTCACTTTCTTCAGCAGAGGCCTAGTATAAGCCTATCACAGGAGCATGATGCGAACTCACTTGGCTGTGGAGTTTGCTGTATGATTCACAGTTGCCACACTTGGACTCTTCAATGCTTTATTGTGATAATGTGTGATAACGTGAAAATATTAGCATCTTCTCTGGCTCGTCCGTCAAAAACGAGCATAGCTTAAAGAGTGAAATTTTCTTAATTCTTTTTATAATTTGGTTGCAGTTTTATTTATTTAGGGTTTCAGACACCCATTTTTTTCCTGGATGTGTTTAGTTTCTTGGAAAGAGATAAACTAAATTAAGTCTGAATTGGATGCTTGATTTGATTTAACTTCATTGACGAAGTGTTTCATTTGGTTCTTGTTTATCAGGAGATGATTTTGGGATAGTTTTGTTGAAAGGTTTGGCTTTGGTATGCATTCATATGAATTGTTTTACTAATTTTTCCATTTTGTATGTTTGGGCTTGATTTATTGTTCACTAATTCTCCAAACTCACTCAGTTTTCTGGTTCAACATTCAACAGAAGGGAGCAAACTTGTAAAAGAACGTGTCCAGCGAAAGAATTTGCAGAGATTTAAACTTACCCATGAATAAAACTGCAAAAGATATAATTTGCTGGAAAAAAAAAATTAACATAAATGGGTCCTAGGATGACATGAGAGAGTCTCTCCCCAATCCTCATATTGGAGGCGGAAAGTTGAAGCTTATTTCAATAGAATAAAGAGAAAACTTGTTTACCCCACGTCGTGTCTACTCTTGCACCGGAGATTTTTCCGATCACTGACTTTCTCAGCCCTAAACCACCACTGAGTTTCAAATCCTTCTTAATAACTGCTTTGTTTTTAATTAGGTAATTATTTTTTGTCCACAAAATATCATTATTTTGGAACAATTTATTGAATATTGCTCAATTTTGGGCGATAGAAGGTTTACGTTAACTCTTATACGAATGGCTGAAATTTAGGCAAGCGGATGACTAAAACAATGGTAACCTTCAAGTCGCCATTTAGCCGATGGTAACAAATTGTTGGCCGTTTGCATAGATGAGGGTAAATGTCCAGCTTAGACAATGGTAAAATTCCTTTGTTTGATGCCATTTTTTTAGAGCAGGCAGTTGTTTCCGAAATGTAGAAATTGACGCACGTGCGGGTTAATAAGCAAATAAAGGGGTATCAGTATATAGAATTCCCCTAATAGACTTGTAGTTGGAAGGCAGCTATCTCCTCGCATAGACTTACAGTTGCAAGCTGCCATTGACGTGTGGATTCTGTGGAATGAGAGCATGACTACTTGGTTTCTGTAGTTTTTCATGCATGCATTTGATTGAGACATGAAGTCATTGTTACCATATACGTGTACTTATTCACACACACACAATTTGTATATTAATATATATACATAACTGAAGCTGCGTGTAAGTGAGAGTAGGAGATAGAGAGAGATCCATGGCTTGGTATTTTCGGGCAAGTTTGACCATGAACGTCCTCCTCCTTGTCGGAACAGTTGTGATCATCCCACATGCGCTTGGTTGCTACACTTCAATCATTGGCTTTGGGGATTCAACTGCTGATACAGGCAACTCATACCTCAATGCCCTTTACCACCATGACGAGCCTTTCCACTTCTTCTTCCCTCCATATGGGGAAGACTTCTTTCATCACCCCACCGGCCGCTGCTGCGACGGTCGTTTAATCATAGACTTCATTGGTATGTGCAATACATCCACTTATCTATATCTCATACCATTAAAAAGCCATACTAATCATATTTTTTTCATTTAACAAATAATCAGGTTCTTTTTGGCTTCATCTTTTGCAGCTGAATCTCTGGGACTTCCTCTTGTGCGACCTTATTTTGAAATCCTGAACGTCAATGAAACTGTGCACAACTTTGAACAGGGTGTGAATTTTGCAGTAGTAGGAGCCACTGCACTTGACACTGACTTTCTTGAACAAATGGGACATTATAATGAATTTACAAACTACTCTCTAAGAATTCAAGTGGATTGGTTCAAAGGAATGTTATCACCTTTATGCAATACAGCTTCAGGTCAATTACCAAACTTTTTATGAACATTTAGATTATGTGTCTAATTTCTCTAACTTTAACACTAAACGACATTTCTATCGTTTAGAATTATAGAGTAAACTTTTTGCTACAATTGTGGTGCAGTAAATTTTAACTAATTTTTCTTTCTAAGTAAGTTTCAATGATTGTGTTAAAATGCAAATTTACAATTTCAAGTTGTTTCTTGTCCCCATTTACCACATAAATAACAACTCCAATTAATAATTGTACTTGGGGCCTGAATGTGAAGGTTTCATCTTGGATGTGACTGATCAGTTACTCTTTTTTTTTTTTTATCTTTGATTTGCAGACTGCAGGGATCTCCTCTCAAGTTCTCTAGTTCTTATGGGACCGATTGGAGGCAACGATTACACCCATGCGTTGTTTGCAGGAGACAGTTTTCAACTTGTTCGAACATTTGTTCCAGTAGTGATGGAAGCAATGGCTTCAGCTATCAATGTAAGAGTTGAAATCATATAAATTGTAGGCTTCTATGATTTAATTTTATGGTTGCATTGCTCTGCAGGAGTTGATTGAGCATGGGGCATCAACACTTTTGGTACCAGGCAACTTTCCAATTGGTTGCCTCCCTACTTATCTTACATTCTATGAGGGTTCAGATGAGAGTGAATACGATCCTTCAACTGGTTGTCTTACATGGTTAAACAAGTTTTCTGAGTATCACAATGAGCAGCTTCAGATAAAGCTAAGTCAGATTCGAAGCCTTCATCCTCATGCTAACATCATTTATGGAGATGTTTACAGTGCTACGTTACAACTGTATCAGTCTCCAAAACAATTTGGTACAACATCTCTCTAGCACTCATTTACTAATCATTTTAGTTTTTAGTTTTCGTTAAAAAATTTAAAAACAAACTAAAAACTAAAAGCAATGGCCACAAGTTTTCAATTTTTTTTAATAAAAAAAATTAAAAAAAAAACAAAATGATCATCAAATGACCTTAATATTTTTAATTAATTTTTAAGATTATTGTTAAAGGTACATGAAGTTTGGAAGTGTTTCAAATGTTGAACCTCTCAGTTTTCATAAATCATCGGATTCACGTCACTGCAGGATTTACTTGGGAAGCAACCAAAGCATGCTGTGGAGGTGGGGGGACATACAATTACAACTCATCAGCACAATGTGGTGTTCCACCGGCAAGTGCTTGTCCAAACCCTGAAGAGGCTATCGACTGGGACGGTCTGCACTGTACTGAAGGAGCCAACCGGTGGATAGCCAAGGCTTTATTATATGGAAATTATACCATTCCCCACCTTAGTAACTCCTGTGTGTCACAACTGTGACTTGGCCTCCGATTTATTTTCCCATTTATATCACACAAGAATTTTATTGATGTCACTTAGTCAACTTAAGTTGCATCAATAATTTTAGGGGGCTTATACTTCAAGAAGTTCATTGTGTTTGGCTTTGCACTAGAAGCTATGTTATCAAATCTCGCTCTAGATGTGCTACTTGTATCTTGTAAAAAAAATTAAATAAAAAGGCCTCCATGGCTCCATGTCCCAATTTGGGATACACAGATAACAAAAGCAAAAGAAATATAGCTTGTGTACACATCGTATGGTGTTATATTTTAGAGAGACTTTAGGATATTCTATTTATATTAGAAAAACTTTTTAAGGGTGTGGTAGAAATTTTTCTAAAACAAAACAAAATCCTAAATAGCTAAAATGACAAATTAGGAAAGAATCCTTCTTGGCTAGAGAAACACATCAATCACTTCGCACGCTTGATTTGGGGTCGGTTTAGCTTTTGGACAATTTTGAAAAATAGGAAACTTGTAACTCTATCTCTTATGTTTTGAAGCATATGGTGTTGAGAATATGAATAACACATCAGGGAAATGAGGAACCTTACATGTGCATATAAGTAATTGGGCTACTTCCCCTATTACCAATTGGTTTTATGGTAGAACCTTAACTTCGTCATAGTATCAGAGCAGGTTGTTCATTGTGTAAAGCCCAACGGCCACACATGTTTCACGTCACTCGATTTGTATTGTCCACGTGCTAAGCTTGAAAATTAGCCACGCATGAGGGCACCTATTGAGAATATGAATATCACATCGGAGAAATGAGGGACCTTGCATGGTAATTGGGCTACTTTTCTTATTGTTAATTAGTTTTATGGTGAAATCACAACTTATGTTGCTAGGAAAAATTGGGAAACCCTTCAAATCTTCACTCTCCCATATATGTGCAGTTCTAATAAGATTGATTTGCAAAATTGGAACGTTTTACTCCATGAAAAATTATGAAATTTAGACACAAAGACCTTCAACCTCTTAGCTTCCTTCTCTAGTTCTTCGGAAAGTCAATTTATCATAAAATAAACATCCCAAGTGTATAGATTGGCTAAAATTGAGAAAAGGAAAATACTAAAGCTCTTTATAATTCACTTTCTTAACAAAATTTAGAATAATTGACATAAAAATACAGAAAATAATAAACCTATATATGCTATATAGTTTAAAGTATAATCCTACCATACCACATTTGATATTAATGGTGTTGAAGCCATTTTTGGTTTTGTGCACCGGACGGAGCCAAGTACAAGGCTCCCCTAGGCTATAGCATAGGGAGAGTTTGGTTCTTCAAGCATAAAAATATTAATTTTTAGGTTAGTTTATGATTTTTAGTTGCCATATTTCACATAATATATGAAATTTTTTATTAGTAAGCCTATTTTTAAGAATAATCAGAGCTAATAGATGTTACATAAACTCATCACTTTAACCAATATTATATTTAATAGTAATAAATTAAAATTTCCATATCACAAATTGTTCCTTATTTTATTCACTTGAAAGCTTTGAAGGCTAGAAACCTAGAAAACATAACATAAAATTATTGCTTCAAATTATTACATTCAAGTTTTTACTATTATATAACTTTATGTAGGCAACATAGGATTAAAAACTTAATTTCGTAGTAATAATTTTAATTTAACTCACTCACCGAATAATTTCTGACTACGCCATTGTGTACGTACATACTAGCGTAACGAGGGAACTTGTGTGCTCCTGCTCCAACTGCAAAAAAGCATCATAAGCACGTAGCTAGAATGTATTATAATAACAACTCAAAGCTTCAGTATGGTGTCGAAGCAACAACTAAGGCCACCGGTGTATGTTACATCAGTAATACATCAATGAGCGGTCACATTCATCCATGCATGCGCCAAATTGCCCCTAACATCTTAGCTCAATAATATCATCGTATATAAAATTTGTCACCTCATACATCAACAACTTACAATTACATTCATACACACACATGAGAATTTGATAATAGCATCTAACAATTTACAGTTACTTACATACGTGTAAGCGTCTAATATTAATATTTTTATATTATATATTAGTCATTAAAAGCCATTGTACACAGAACTTTGTCACCTAATTAATCGTGGGGCCTTGTGGCAGGCATTGATAGAAGAAGGGGCAGTGGAGTTGGTGGTGCCTGGAAACTTGCCAATTGGGTGTTTAGCCGCATTGACTTTGTTGCAAACCCCCAATTGGATCGGCAGCCGGTAGAGATCATACGCAAACTGGGATGGTATTCACTTCACAGAAGCAGCTATCGCTACATTGCCAAGGGCTTAATCCATGGCCAATTTACCAAACCCATACAGCTTGTATTTGATCAGCTACATTGCTTTTATCCTATAATCATTATTGTTTTGATAAAAAAAGAACGAGACATTTTAACTTTGAGATTTCTTCCAAAATTTAAAAGAGAGTCATCCATGGCCATTTTACCACACCCCTCTACCTTATATGATGGTTAGTTACTCCGTAAGACAATTAGAGATGTTACAGTGTCAATATTTAATCGGTATGTCAACAAGAAGATTGGCCAAATATAACGTCAAAATCAAGAAAGTATAAACACTAAATATGTCATGTTTTCGCCTTTGAGTCATCAAATAACTAACATAAATGGTTAACCACTCACTTTGTTGCAAACATTAATCATCATTGTCGTGACGAGTATTGTAAACACAAGAGACATAATTCAACGACAACCTGTTTTTAGGTATACAATTAATCTAGTTATCTACCTACAACTAGATCAATTAGTACTCTGTCAAACCCATTCCCTTCACATTTAAAAGTTTCCAGAGACTGAACCACAAGGACGTGTTTCTCGTTGTGGTGCAATTTCCGTTTCTGGGTTTGCTACTTTGCTAACCACATATGGTATGTTTGACGTTTAAAAGTCAAAGGCGGCGGAAGCTTTAGTGGTGCAAAAACTAACTAGTAGTTTGTTTTACTTTGACAAGTCCTTGGTGGAAGGTTTGATGGTGAAGAGATAAACGACACGACGCTTTCACAAACGACAATATTTTTTATGTCGTTGGTGGGACAGGAAATAAAAAGGAAAAAAGAAAAACAGAATGGAGATGCGGGGTATCGATCCCCGTACCTCTCGCATGCTAAGCGAGCGCTCTACCATCTGAGCTACATCCCCGTGGACTTCCAACCTTTCCATTTAACTGATATCAAAATAAACAATGGTTCTTTAATTTTTAAACATATTAATGGAATTTTTTGGGAAGTGTTATTTGCACTTCAAAAATCTCATTCTACACTCCTTACAAGTGCATTTTTCTTTCCTAATATAGAAAATTTGGAGTGTAGAATGAGATTTTTTTAGTACTAATAACAATTCCCAATCTTTTTTGTCAATCAAAAGAAGGTAAAAAAACTATTTAGTATTCTATCACAACAAAAAGGTTAAGGACAGTAATATAATTTTACAAAACAAAATTTTGCTGTTTTTTGTTTAAGCCTCACTTACACGTAATTTTAACATCTTTAATTAAAAATAATAATAGTAATAAAAATAAAAACTTCTCTCACTCTCTCCCTCTCTCCTTCAATTCTAAAAGCAAAAATAGAAAAGTTTTACACACAATTTGTGTGTGGCCATATTCTAATATTTGATTAAACGAAGACTTCAAACATATACAAAAAGACTTCACGTCGTTAGTTAATTGTATTAAAAGTCTTAATCATGTATGTTCATCTTAATTTGGCCGTCCGACGTCCCATCTTCATCTTCACCTTGATCATCACTAATCAGTTTAACATAATGTTGTTTATGTATCAAATCCTAGCCTTTTATGTATGCTGTCGATCTTATGCACTGTAATTTCAGCAACTACCGTTCAACCTTAACCTTACAAGGCAAAATTTTGCTTCAAGAAAGGTGACAATATCAGCATTCCCTGCAAGAAAAAAGCATTCATAGGCACATACTGGAATGGTATTCACTTAACAGAAGCAAACTGGGATGGTATTCGCTTTTGAGTCATCAAATAACTAACATAAATGGTTAACCCCTCACTTTGTTGCAAACATTAATCATCATTGTCGTGACGAGTATTGTAAACACAAGAGACAGAATTTGACGATAGCCTGTTTTTAGATATAAAATTAATCTAGCTATCTACCTACAACTAGATCAGCCAGTACTCTGTAAAACCCATTCCTTTCACATTTAAAAGTTTCAAGAGACTGAACCACAAGGACATGTTTCTCGTTGTGGTGCAATTTCCGTTTCTGGGTTTGCTACTTTGCTAACCACATATGGTATGTTTGACGTTTAACAGTCAGAGGCGGCGGAAGCTTTGGTGGTGCAAAAACTAACTAGTAGTATGTTTTACTTTGACAAGTCCTTGGTGGAAGGTTTGGTGGTGAAGAGATAAATGACACGACGCTTTCACAAACGACAGTATCTTTGATGTCGTTGGTAGGACAGGAAAGACGTTTCACTTTAGTTTCCTTGCTTTCTTTAGGAATGTTACGAAGAAAAGGAGAACCAAACACAAAAATCTGACTGCACAGATATCAAATAAATTTTCTTATATGCGTAACCTACAAGCCACTTTCCTTTTCTTTGGTATTACACGGTTTAAGACAAAACAATCAGAAATATAATATTAATTGATCAACTTATAAATACAAACCCACCCTAGCACTCAAGAATTTAAATATAATTAGAATCGATCATCATCCTCATGGTGCATCAGCACCCAAGGGCACCTTCCAACTGAGTATACTTTTCCATTTCCTAGAGTTAAAGAAGAATTTCATGAGGATCCTCGCTGCATCCTCTTTGTGAGGATCATCGTCGACAAACGAAATGAGTTTTAGTTTTTGAATTAAAAAAGCCACAACACATTTTCAGAGAGTCCGCTAGCCAGAGGAAATCAGAATAGTCAATAGCAGACAAATGCAGAAAAATAAAGATAGAAACAAATAGAATCATTCAAATTTTGTATACTGTTAGTTTCTCAAGCAGCCTTTACATATTCAATCTCCAAAACCCACAATTTAAACTAAAACCCACAAATTTAAACGAAAAACTCTATAAAATCATGAAAAATTTAATAAAATCCAAGTATTTTAATCACAAATTCGATCATACAAATCTTCACATCCAATAAGTCAGGTACCTAGCTTCGTTGCAAAATCGTATCTATACATGCCAAAGCTCAAATTTCCTTGCAGCTGCCTTGATTCGATAAGTCCTGATTCAAGCAGACTTGAAAAAAAGTTTTCGAAAATAGGAACAACTAGAAAATCTGCCCGCGCGTTGCTGCGGGACTTGAATGCATCACCTTGAACTACATGAATAAGATACATTTTACCTGAATAAATTCAACACAATCATAAATGAAGAAAGGGATAAATGAGTGAATGAGATTAGTACGATATGCAGCTTCGTTTTTATATACATTCAACTGAGCTGACATGAAAAGACATTAAACAATGAACAGGACGAAACTGAACGTTTTGGTTCCCTAATAACAGAAGTAACATACAGTTCACACAAATCTTGCCCCTGTAGTCAATGTGGCAAAATATATATCCTATAGGTTAGGCAACATAAAAACTGTTTCGTTCTTATTCTAGCATCAAAGTTTTCAAGCACAAACGTGCAAAGCAAAAAACATGCAGGACGCCTGTTTCAGTAAGAAACAGAATTAACATCCAGTCCACACATATTTTTCCTTGCAGTTAAGATGGTGTTTCGTTCTTGTTCAAGCAGCTAAGTCTTGAAGCAATAATGTTGAAAGCCAAAAACATGTAGAACGCCCTGCAGCAGTCGTTCTTGTTCAAGCAGCTAAGTCTTCCGCACTATAGCAAAGAATATAAATCATAGTTTAAAAGAATATCTCACGATGGTCCTGTTTAGAATCACAATTTACTCCCTCCCAATTTCCACCTAACTCCGAACAAACAATGTTGATAAATCTTTATCATCACCTTTAACAAAACAGATCACAGCAAAAAGAAGAAAAAAAGTTCCTATGCAAACAAATTCTTCTGGATGTCCAACTTAACCCATCTATGGGAAGGCAAGCAATTGGACGTGCATTTAGACCAATGAAAATAAATTATACAATTAAAAACATCAACCGATCCTCCTGAAGAGAACACACACACATGGCAACATATTATTCACCAGATTCTAAGCTTTCATTTTCGTTCTATCCCTTTCGTTATCTAAACTTATAATTATCAAAACAGCAAAAGAATCATAGAGCAACCTTCAATCATTTATCAAAACTGAATTAATTAAACTTCTGCTCAGCACTCCGTTAATTTTAATTGCAACTCTCATTCTAAAAATTAAAAATTTTGCATTTGACTAATCAAACTCACTTACACATTACATTCCTTTTATTGGTTCTTGACACAATACATTTTAGGATTTGATGTTACGATAATATCACTGCAAGCATGAATTGTGATAGATATAGAAACCAAACTTGCACACAAATGTTCAACTGAATTCAGAACCACTTAATTCAACACAAAAAATTACCTCACATGCTTGCTACCCTTCTGCTCTCACATCGTTGGCTGCGCTTCTAAACGATTAAGGAAGTCCTAAAAACAGAACAACAAAAAACGTTTACCTATCCAACATTTCAACATAATGGTTTTCGCAGGTATAACATTTCAACATAAGCATGATATAGAAAGACAGAAATCCACATGTCGCTTTGTTTTTTCAGAACCAACACCCTCTTCTCTCTCCCTCATATCACACACCCCCACCCAGTGAAGGCACTGACACCAGACCACCTCCCTAGAAACCGGCCCTAAAAACCCATACCCATACCTCCCTTACCCGTTACCTTTCTCAAAGCAAAAAGTGTTATATATGATAGTACTCACCCCAATCTGGTTAATGACATTCACTGCATAACGCTCACCAGTAGGTATAGTCTCGCTCTTTGAGAAAGGCCTGAGGTCAAAATTGGCAACAACAAATTAACAAAGCAAAATGAAAGATTAAATCTACAGTCACCACAAATATTTTCTAAAATGGAAGATAGACCAGAGTCAAACAGGAAAGGGATAGCAGACACGGTGAGCTTTGTCTTAGTTTGAAAAGAAAAAAGAAAAGAAAATTGGGTAGTTTCAGGAGCAATAACTATGTTGAGTATAGTGAAGGGGGAAAGCCATACCTTCCTATGAATGAATTTAAAAGAGGGGATTTTTCTGCATTTTTAGGACAAAAAACGAAGCAGCTAACATTTCTTTCTGTTTTTTGCCTTTTATGATCTTCTGATCTTCTTCTAGTAACATGGATAGCTTAAGCAGGACTGCCATTGTATCCAACACATATCAAATTCGCCAAACTTTGGTTTGGATATAACAGTGTCATGAGGGCCCACTGGATCTACAGATTCAGAAAAACTCTGTAAGCCATTCACATATACCTGTCAAAGGGCACAACACCATTAAATGCTAGAGTTGACATCTACCTGTTCATCCACAGAACAGATACATTGAAGGAGACACAGAAAACAAACCAAGCTTCAAGTCCCGATGTCTAATCTAAATTAGAGAACGCTCACCCAGAAGACAAAGTAATACACATTTCTTAGGAAATTGTTTTGCAGTAGAGGCTATATAAGTGATCATTTCAGCAACCTGTTGTTGAACCTGCATTTATCAAGACATAACAAAGTAAAGCAAACAAAAAAAGGCATTGTTAAATCTTCCTAACTAAAAATTCATAAAGTAGCACCACCAAAAAAAACAAAAAAACGCGTTGTTAAATCTTCCTCACTTTAAAGCAAAAATTAAGGAATATCCCCACCGTAAAAAGTAACACCACAAAAAAAAAAAACAAAAAATACAAAAAACAAAAAAGACTTCGTAAAGACAGCACTCTTGTTAAGATACCCCAACTAAATCAGTTAGCAGCAAGAGAACAACATGGCAATGGGAGTCTACAAAAAGGAAAAAGAACAGAATAAATAAAATAGTAGACAAATGGTCATAGTTATATTAATTGAAATTGTTCAAAAAAAAAAAACAATGATGAATAATAATTCCTTAGAATAAAAAAATTGATTAATTCATTCTAATGGTTTCTTGGAACCCAAGTAGAAAAGGATACAACTTAATAACAATGGAAGCCACAAACCTATGTCATTTCTTATTCGGGATCAAATAGAGCATATTTCTTATTCGGGAACCAGAAATTTAAGATTGCAAGCTCGAGACTTCCGTACCTCAAACCGAAATCGGCGTGCTGTCTAGTAGTCCAAACCTTGATCCTTGATAAATTGAACTTCCTTCTTTGATCGAACAATCGAAAAATAGATAAATTAGGCAGCATGTCAAATCAATATAACACCCCTATACGTACACACACATACCAAAACAGCCTACATTCAGATTTGCATCATATCCTTGTTTCTAACTCTCTGGGGAATTTTCACAAACACCTAATAGGCAAGATTTGCTTCCATTTAAAAGAAATCTGATTTAATCAATGATCTCAATTGCATGTATATCTGAACGACCATGCTTGTTAGTCAGTCATGTTATAGGATGTATTAAACACTTACCAAGCGGTTCCAAAACATCATCCTACATACATATTATGTTGCCAAACTATGAATCAAGACAGAACTTTCCTACTTTGGTAATGTAATCTCCTAGTCTAGTTACAATTTGGTTCCTGTATTTTGACCTGAAAACAATTTTGGTCCCCTAGAAGTTGCCAATGGCACCCGAATTGCAACTGGAAAACAACTCAGACACAACTATGAAAAATTAAAACTCGAGGCACCAAAGCGTGAGAACAAAGAAACCAAAATAGTTAAATCTACCCTTTTATATCATACATACCATTAAAAATTTGTTTAGACATAAAAATGGTAGTCATAGTAGAGAATCCAACCTGACCAAAGAAAGTGGATTTCCTCACTTTATAGTGCTATTATATTTACCGTGCTTGAGACTATTCAAAGATGAAAAAAGTGGAAATTTCATGCAATATGAAAACAAATCCCTAATAGTTAATACTGCTTACCATAGAAGCTAACAATCTTATTTTGTACGAAAAACATGAAGATCACTAAAAGACACCAGAATATAACTTTCATCAATGACATACTTTATGAGAATTTTGGATCCAAAAGTGGCTCCAATAAAATAAATTTAGGCTTGTATATGCAATATATTAACATGAGAAAAAAAACGTGCATCCCTAATGAAATAATGAGGAGAATGGCCTTTGACCATTTGTTATCTTTGATACAACTCTTTTCATCCATGCCTTCATGTTTGTATCCTTTGGGACATTGACATGAATAATTTCCAGGTGAATTTATGCATGTTTCAATATCTGGAAAGTAAGGAACCATGGACGAACATCAGTTAAAATCCCAATTTTTAAATTGGTTGAATTGGGAAAGAACTATTTGTACATTCACATGGTGTTGAGAGAAAAAACCTTGAAAATAAAGCACTATACATACACAAAATCTGTTCAGTATAAAAAGTAGCAAGAAACAAATGTAATTTTCAGCTTCTAACTCATCCATTTGATCAACATATTGATGGAACAAATGTAACTTTCAGTTTTTAACTCATTCATTTGATCAATATCATCCAAGTCAGAAAAGATAGAACATAAAATGATCAGGATATATAAATAGGGGCTTCATCTGAGTCAATATCAGCCATCATTCCCTAAAAAATTGATGTCAGGACTCTGCCAAGCATCTATGAAGCCCCTTCAAAGAAAGAAACTTGTTAAGGAACAAAACAGTGAAGAATACAAAAGGTAAGTAGCGACAATCATCAACTCAGCTACATATCCAGCACAATAGCCAATGTCTTCCTCTCTTTTAGCAATATGCAAATCCCTAATCTGCAAACAATAATTTGGAATCTTGAGATACCAAATCGACTTCAACAGGGTTTGAAGGTTGCATTTTTCATAAAATTTAAAAACTAAAAGCAAAAACAATATTAATAAGTGAGCACTCACCAAAAAATAAAGGAATGGAAAGAGCGATGATATTGTCAGTGCTACAAAACGATCATCAAACAATAGATCAAGGTTAAAACATTTAGAAAAAAAAGTTAGAAGATGGTGCAGATATAAACATTACTTAATAAAATTGATAAATGATTTCGAGTGTGACAAAGCAATCAAATTACAGGATCAGCTCTTCCGCCTTCAAACACACTCATCAACACCATATTAAATTTCACATTTTTAGGCGAGGGTAAACTACCAGAAACGAAAATGATTTATACCTTTTATCAAAGATCTACAGCCTCGGTTCCTCCACCATTGCTTGCCTTCTCCTGTCTGGGTTTTACATTCCTGGCAGTTTTCTCCTTCCCTGGTAGTTTTTTGTCCTGCAAAGAGAAAAAAATTAGGATTAAACTCTAAACGCAAGGTTCCTTGATTCTTCTGCTTCAGAAATTTGTTGTCGCATAGCCAAAAATTAGAGAAAATAAGCTTTGGTTCAAAACTTACTCACTCTCTGCAGACATGGGTTCCTCCTCAATTTTTGTCATCCTCCTCTTTCTGCGATCTCTCTCTGTCTCTCTCCTTGTCTCTGTGCAGTCGTTCCCTCCCTCTCTCTCTCTCTCTTTCTGCGTTCTTCCCTCTGTGCAAGCCCATACTCACCAACTCCCTCAATCAACTCTCTCCATTCTCTGTCCGTGAAGCTTCAATAATCTGAAAACCCAATTCGATTTTTCATTGCTCGGATGGAGAAAATTGAGGAATGAAATAACAAATTAGGGTTAGCACTAAAGTTGAGAGAGATGGACAGTTGGGAGAAAGGAAGAGTCTAAAAGAGAGAGAAAGAGAAAGGATTAGAGAGAGGTTGAGTGTGACAGAGATGAGGGGAAAACACGGGATGGGATTACCAATCCCTGAAATCACTCTCCCTACCCCCAAATCCCTCAAATCACTCATCTGAGCGTGCAACAGAGCATGGTCCCATCGACCCCATTCCGGTTCAGAAACAAAGGAAATGAAAGTTCCCCTCTAACCAATGCTCGTTCAATCACCGACACCAACAATTGATTTGAGGATAAAAAATCAACCCTAACCCCCTTTTTGGCAGCCTCATTCCTCCCTCTCCCTTCCCCTCCCTGCCATCCCACGCCTCTCTCCCTGAAATTCATCCACAAATCCTCCCACACCAAATTTAGATCAAACCCTAATTTCCAGAATAATGATAAAAATCGACAAAAAATATATACAATTGGCACGTTACCATTGATTCGAGTTCTGGTAAGGAGTGCGGCGGCGAGGTAAGGCGAGGTGTGCGACGGCGAGGGGAAGGCGAGGTGTGCGATGGTGAAGCGCCGAATCGACTTTGTCGTTGAAGAGCTCTGGAGCAAAATGGGCTTGTCGTCGAAGAGATCTCTGGAACAAAATTGGGTTTGCTTCCATCCCCCAACCTTTCTACGATGGTCGACACGTGCGCGCTGAAGGGTGGCAATTTCGTAAATAAATGGAAATTTTCAATCTGAAACTGAAGAGGCGGTGGCAATCTTGTAAATAAACTGAAATGTGGTCCAAAACACTGTTCATATGAATAGTGCGATTTCCCCTCCTACTTTAGACTAAAGTAATATTGATAACAAATAAGTTGGAAAACGTTTGCAAACAAAAGTTATTGCAAGAAGCTCAAGCATTTTCTATAAAACTACTTTTACTAAATAGTTGGTAATGATTTAAAATGCTTGACCAAGAAACTAAAAGAGACGTTGCACAAAGAAATTATACATATTTGAAAAGAACTGAACCGATTGAAAAATTTTGATGGAAAAAACTGATGACAGGATTTTAGGCATCAATATTTCTTAAACCTAAAATGTTACAAAAATTTTACATAAAAAATGTTTCATCGATACAGCTTACAATTTTTTGTATTTGCATGTATTATGTTTAAGAAATGATATATATTACCTAAGTTTCATAAGACAAAAACTTCAGAACTTCATTCATTTTAAGGCACACTCCAATGTTGATAGTGGGTTGATTCGTGGCTACCAACTGTAAATGAAAAATGTAAATGTTAAGTTATGTTACATGTTTAATTGTTTGGTAAATGCTAAGTTATGTTATTACGTATGATGGCTTGCCAAAGACTGAATAAAAAATAAACAGTGAAGAGTTAAAACTCAAAGTTGAAATTCCATCTTCTATGTCCAACTCACCTTTCTTAATCTTTTCTGAAGAAATAAACAGAACTTTTCTTGTACTCTTCTTTAACCACTGCACTGAAAAATAAACACACATTGCTGTTTAAATATTAAAACTGAAGACCTTTATATTATAGCAAGGAGAAAACAATTTAACACTCGAAAACCTGCAAGCCAGTGGCTCCAAGACGAAAAAAAACTTTACAAACCAACCCAAATCAACTAAGTTACAAAACAACTAAATATGCAAACAACAACAGAGTCTGCAGTGATCTAGTTTTTTATTTTGTAATTAAATTTAATCTCAATTTTTTGCCCAACAATGGAACCATCAGAGGTTGAACAGCAATAGTGCACAACAGTTTAGTAAACACCGTAAGAGAATGGGGATAAATTGAATATTAATACATACACATCTATCAGAATAGTAAAACTAAAAGAAACTAAACATGTAACATAATTCACACCAATAAACCATCATTCAATTTGAATTTTGAAGTAATCTGTCCATATTGCCTTAAACTATTTAACCAAAAGAGAACAAATTTACTGGAAAAATTCTAATTTCTCCTAATATGTTAGTGGAGAACAATTTCTTACATGTTTCAATATATCCACAAAAATGGTTCTTTTTCCTTAGGAATCTGACATGGACACCTGCAACTCCCCTATAGTAATAAAAAAACAACCTGAAAAATTAAAAGGAAATGATTAGACCCAATACTCTCTGATGAATTCCAACAAATTGAATAGGGGTTTAGATAAATAGGCAGAAATAAAAAAAAATGCATTCAAATACACGAACAAAAGATATTAAAACAACAAAAAATCAAGAGAAATCAACTTTGCAGTGAACTCTAGATCCCAAAACAAAAAAATTATTCCTTCTCTATTCCCTAGCTAGCCACCACTCTCAGAATCCCTCAATCCCTTATATCTCACAAAGAGAAACACAAGCATGTCCATTTCAGCTCTTAAAACTGAAAGAAATGTTATGGTTTCTTAGCTTCATGCCCAAATCCACCAATTTGAATCAAATCTTTGCAACACAGATGTGAAACAGATACACAAAACACCAACATTACAATGGTTTTTTTTTTTTTCCATTCAAAGCATTGCATAACTGAGAAAGCTATATTTGTAAGAAAGAATAAAACCTTTTTACAAAACACACTGAAAAACCTCACATTTATAAAGACTGGAAGTTTTTGCTCTAATTTAGTTTCCTTATCTGTTTAAAGTTAATTTCCTCTCTCTGTTTTACAACTCTATTTACACATATTTACAACGATATTTACAACTCTTTTGCAAGAATCACATACTCGACAAAAATTCGAACCCATAAATTCGAAATTAGCAATGTTATTTCTTACCCCCCAAAGACATTCCAAGTCTTAATGGTTACATTCGTTAGTGAAGAAAGCTACACCACTTGAATGACAAAGATTAACCTATACGATAACGTTATACTTAGTTAATTTGTAAAATGATAATAACTTATTCTAATAACCTTAACATTATACTTGGTATGCTTTGTAACAATCCGAATTTCAACATAACCCTAATTAAGGAGTGTCTAATAACATTAAATAAAATTATTACTAATAACGTTAAGGATATATGATCAGTAAAATGATCGTAACGTTATACTTAGTATGCTTTGTAAAATGATTTTAATAATCTTAACATTAATTTTTATTCTAATAATGTTATTGGTTTATAAATAACGTTAGTGAAGATTCTTGTTTTTGGCGTGTGTCAATGAATATTGTTTTGTTACGTCATTTTATTACTTCACATAATTAGTTAAATTTAAATACATAATGTTATGATAAAATGATGATTTAAACTTAACGTTATTGATAACAGCATATTAAGTTTCAAAAAACAACATTGAACTTAACCAAGTTTGATGTGAGGATTATGTTGATTGTAAATCATGGATCTAAGCTCTAATCTGTGCATGACACACAGCATACACATTTTAAATTAAACAATAACAATCACAAAAGAACCAACAGAGTGATGGCATAAAAATCTGAAGCATGTGGCATCATCTATCAATGAAGAAAAATCAGATGCATTATGCATTGTAGAGGAATAGATAACTGAGAATTCCATTCACAGAGTCACCACCACAACAAAGAATAGATGCATGAACAAAAACATGCATAACACATAGTGTGTTTTTTGCAGAGAGGTTGTAACACTGAAAAAGCAGCAGAGCAAGAGGAAAAAGAGGAGAGCAAGGTGGTAGCCAAAAGAGAAAAACAGAGTTATCAAATAGCAATCAGCACAAAATATCTTCTTAGGTCTCCTAATTTAATAATTTAGACTCAAAATAAATTCTATAGATGTCTTTCCGGATCCATGTTTTGAGAACGATGGTATTGTCCAAGGAGAGCGGGACTTTTCCTTTCTAAAAAAAGGAAGCCAACAGCAATCATGAATAAAAGTGGGTAGAGAAAACAAAATTCTACTTGTCTTTTCTTGTGGCTTTGGTGGCTTTGGCAAATGGGTATTTTTTTTGTTTTTGTTTAAGGCAATGGACAGCAGCAGAAAAGGGGGAGAGCAGACAGGCAGCAGATAAGCTGCAGAAAAGCAGGAAAAAAGAAGCAGAAAAGCAAGAAATAATCAAATTGGACTCGAACTTACCAATTTTTTATTCAAATAAACTAAAAAAAGGAGTTGGAATCAAACTAAACCTGAAAAATATCATATATCCAATATTAAGTGTATACACCTATAAACTAATCTTTAAATATACTTTAAAATAATACAGATCAATGTAATCTAAAATGTTATTATATTCATTACGGCAATACCAAATTGTAAAGTTAACTCTAAAAAGTAAGGCCTATGGAAGACATCTGTATTATATAGCAACTTCATTTCCATCAGAGAGTACACATCATTGAACAAACTAAGAAGATACCTGTTGTAAATCGAGCAACTTCCTCTCAAGATCTCTAACAGCATCATGTGGCTCTTGAATTTCGGCCAGAGCGTCCATTATCTACAATTTGATACACAATTTTGGAAATGATCAATCTTAATCAGAAAATTAAGTGTTTGTACAACCCAGCTAGAAGAGTTAGGAGCTTAAAATTAATTGTTCAAGATGTCAAAAAATGTGTCAAGTTTGTGAGAGAATGCACAATTTCAATAGTAAAAAGTGCTTATTTGGGGGCAGAGAATAAAAAAGGATATTTGACAAACCTGGCCTCCCCCTTGTTCTTGGATTGGCTTCTGGAAATTTTGTTCAGTGTCTCTTGTCTCGACTAATCTTTCAATTGTCTGTACAAAGTTAAATAATTAGAAAATGAGCTTTCACAGTGGTATAGATATACCGTAATTTCAACAGTGCAATAAGTTTTACCTCTTCATCAGCTCTTGTGCCCATCACTGACATTCACACAATGCAAGAGAAATAAACTATAAAATCAGATCATGGAAATTCAAGTAGAAGCTCCAGAAATAGCAACCACTGATGAGTGGCAAGTGAGGGGTTCAAACCTGTAAAAACTTGCCTCTCGACAACATTACGATACTCTTGATGGATGGTGTCCCTTAGAGTCTGCATGTTTTAAGTTCAAAATTTAGCGACGTAGGAAACAAAGATTATGAGATTAAAACAAAACTGACCAAAAAGGATACAGACCCGGCGACTTAAAAATCGATTCTAATAAAATTGAAAACCCAGTAATTCTGGCAGTCACCATACCACTGAGAAAACATCAAAAAATGAACACCAAAGAAGTCAATCACTGAGAAAACATCAAAAACCAAAATCAGATGCCAAAAATCAATAAAAATAAAATATGAGTTTTATTAATCGGGTAGTGAATCAATAAAATAGTACGAATGCTGGTTCAAAAAAAAAAAAAAAAAACCTTGATACCAAAGGACTGCAAAGGATTGTTTCATAGAAAGTAAAAGAATAAATTGAATCAACTGAACATGCTTCTTGCCAACCAACAAAGTAAAACACAGGGAAACAACCATTTCTTTTATCCCATTTGTCCAACACCACCCGCATTTCAAACAAAAAGGAAGAGTTTAATAACTAAGAACTTCAGGCACTTTCCAATTGTCAGCAAGAATGATAAAGACCATGGATAATTTATTGTGTTCATTTTCCTGCCATCTTAAGTGACCAGAAACTGAAAATTTCTTATCAAATGTGTTAATGCTGCAATATATAGGATGACAGAGAAAATTCCAGTGAAGATTGGTTGAGGAAATTGACAGTGTCACTACTCGCCTTTGGAATGATGTCTTTTCTGGAAACCCTTTCAAAGTGTTTAGGATCCGAAAACTTGTAATCGATTAGAGTGTGCCGATTAGGGTGATTTGCTATCTAAGACTCACTTGGGAGTTGGGAGCGAAGTTATAAGTCGCAAGCTCTTGAAATGCAGTAATGAATTTGGATAATATTGGACATGGAAGAAAATATCACATGCACAGCAAGCTACAGCGACCATAAGAAGAAGAAGAAGAAGAAGAAGATCTAAGCAAAAATCATGAATCCAACTCAAAAAAGAAATCATCCAAATAACATCTCAAACCAGAACCCAAATCAAATGCACCAAATCTCACATCAAAAAATAAATTATACAAATTGACATATTGGTAGAAACCCAACAGAGATTTTAGAGAGAGAGAGAGAGAGAGAGCACCAGAGGGAGTGAGATACGGTTGTACCTGGAAAACCAAAAATAAATTATATAAATTGACCTTAACATTTGTTGACTCTAACAAACTGATACATAATAACAGTTGTTTAGGATATAGCTATGGGTGTACCTGGAAATATTAAAATTCACCATGCAAGCCGTATTCGTGTAGGACTTGCTCTAGTTCTTCCATAGTGATATACCTGATAATCAGAATGCATTTTGGCAACATTGTTATAAATAAGATGTTGAAATTTAAGAGCATTATGTAAAAGATATTAAAAAAAAAAATTAAAAAAAAAAAAAACCCCATCTATTGTGATCTCTGCATACCCCGGCTGTCTCGTAGGAGAAGCCATGAACAGTGGCAGTAGAATCAAGCAACCAAGTTATGAAATACGAATTTAAAATGTACCTATTTACTGTGTCTGTAATGAATCTGTGAAATCAAATAGCTAAACCCTAAAAAGCACCACTGCAAATAGCATAAAAAAATTGAAATTAACCCTAAAGAAATTGGGAGAGAAGAATATGAAAAGGGAATACCTTTCGGCCCTTCGAGTTACTGGAAAAAAACCCAACAGAGCAAAAGCCTCCAACTTCAAAGACTGTTGTGGGATTTTGAAGAGAGCAAGAAAGAGAGAAAATATCAGAAGAAATAAAGCAAGTGAGGGGGAATCAAAAGGGGGAAGAAGAAGAAGAAGAAGAAGCAGCAAAAGCGAAGCAGAGGAAGAAGAAATAAGGGGAAAAAAGGACGACTGAAATTTAGTACGCAACCATATACTTATAATAACAACTAATCAAATAGAACTAAAAAAATATGGAGGAATCATATCAGTCACACTTACCAAGTATTGAAAGATATCATTTCGAGCAACAAAGTCAGTGTCACAGTTAACTTCAATAATAGCAGCCTTGTTCTCATTCTGAGCCAGAGCCAGCAAGCCCTCAGCAGCCATCCGAGATGACTTTTTCGACGCCAAAACCTTCCCTCTCCTCCTCAATTCCTTCTGCGCAGCCTCTGCATTTCATTAAAGAAACCAACTTTGATAAGGATTAAAATATATACACACACACACACACACATAACCGATTCAAATTAGCATAAACAAAAATGGGAAGAAAGGGGTTCTGACCAATGTCCCAATTGCTATCAATGAGAGCAGCCTTAACGTCTTTGATCGGTGCACTGGTTCGGTCCCATAATTATATGGTTCTATTCGCATATTCAGACTTCAAAATAAAATCTGGCAGTTGTTTGCGCTTGTAAACAATTTCTCTTTACAAAACAAAATAAATTGTACTGACCTAAGAAATCAAGATTTGATTAGGCATTAGAAACAATGTTACCTTTTGGAGAGAAGGATGCTCAACCAAATGAAAGCCCAAATTTAAAACAGCAACCGAATGAGAATCTGACATTATAAATCCGTAAGAAGCACGTAGTGCGTCTAATTTAAAAAGTCTCTCACACGTATGTAATTGCACATAGCATGCCAGATTAAAAAAAAACACCTAGATACCAAAGGGCTGCAAAGGATTGCTTTGTCATAGAAAGTAAAAGAATAAATTGAATCAACTGAACATGCTTCTTGCCAACCAACAAAGTAAAACACAGGGAAACAACCATTTCTTTTATCCCATTTGTCCAACACCACCCGCATTTCAAACAAAAAGGAAGAGTTTAATAACTAATAACTTCAGGCACTTTCCAATTCTCAGCTAGCAAGATAAAGACCATGGATAATTTGTTGTGTCCATTTTCCTGCCATCTTAAGTGACCAGAAACTGAAAATTTCTTATCAAATGTATTAATGCTGCAATATATAGGATGACGGAGAAAATTCCAGTGAAGATTGGTTGAGGAAATTTCTTATCATCGCTTACAGACAAAACAATATAATATCCATCATACCTTAACAACAGAGGCTCCGGTCGCAAACTCTTTCCCCAATTTCTTTGAAGCATCCCTAAGTTTGACATCTGAATTGTAATCAAAGAAACCGTGTTAATTATGGTAGGAACAAAATAAGAATCTCCAAATAGAAAGACAAAGGATGTAAAGTAGCAGATTGCTCACCAAAAAGCTCCAGCCCTTTCACAGTGGTGATAGAAATGCCAAGGGGGCAACATCAGATGGAGAGGAGCAAAGCAGCTGGATGCCCAGCCTTTGACACGATCTGGACGATGGAAAAAAGGTTTGGGATTTGTCTTGCATATGATTCTCTATTAATATGATTCATCACATGAAAATGAGAAGAAAATTGGAACTTTACACACAAAAATTAAAAGAGCCATGCTCAAAAGAGTTTTCTAATTATCTCGAGGAGAGGAGGTCACCCAACATGACCAAAAGCAATATTTCTTTTACTACAGGTATTAAACATCAATTTACATCTGACAACAAAGCTTAAATTCCATGGATAATATTTATGGTGATAAACTGAAAACACAACCTGACGTGATCCATTCATTGATAATGCACCAATTTGAAGAGCAACCACAGGCATGGTTATATTCTCTCTCCCTGTTCACAGACAAAAAATACAACAGGGGGTTTAAGAGGTGTACCTGTAGTGAGTGAGTGAGTGAGTGAGCGAGTGAGTGAGCGAGTGATGCTGCGACTGTGAGAGGCTGAGAAGAACACGGAGATGGGATCGAAGAAGATCAAGGATCTGCAGCAATGGCGCTGAGATGCCCACTCTTCCCTTTCCTTCTCTCTCTGTCGCTCTGTTTCTGTCTCCCTCTCTCCCACTCCCTCTCCCTCTCCCATCTCTATCTCCATCAGCATGGCCTCCCAAGGGCACCTTCCAACTGAGTATACTTTTCCATTTCCTAGTGTTAAAAGAAGAATTTCATGAGGATCCTCGCTGCATCTTTTTGTGAGGATGATGGGATTCTCAAAGTTAAAAATTATTATAAATTTTTTATTTAAAATTGAATATAAACAATATCTGACGAAAGCTGTTTATATTCAATTTAAAAAAGAAAAATTTACAATGATTTCTGACCGCATGATATACGATGAACAGATGTGATTAGAGGATACTTAGGATCCTCACAAAAAGAATCCAACAAGAATCTCTTTCTTAACAGAATTGATAGAGTTGGTGGAGATAAAATAACTTTATGAAGCATTTCAGAGTTGACCAAGTAATTGAACCGACTAAGGACAATTAACATATACTTTTTTTTGTCAATGATTAAAGAGCCGTTTGATAATTTTTGTTTTTAATTTTTAATATTTATTAAAAAATTGAAATTTTGTTTGGTAATTATTTTAAATAAAAAAATGAAAACTTGAAAACTAAAATGTGAAAACTCAATAATAAATTTTGAAAACTCAATGAAGCAGTTTTCAGTGTTCATTTTTTCGAAAACTTAATACTACTGAAAGTAGTTACTAAACAAGACTTTCGTTTTCAATTTCAAAACAGTAAAAACAAAAAATATTATCAAACGACCCCTCAATAATTTAACATAAGCAGTAAATTACATGGATATTCCCCACATTAGCTAGCAACATGAGTGTTTGAGAGAAACACTATGACATGATGACATTTCAACAACTACACAAAAACATGTCTGCTAGCTTTTGTTACATTGGTCGGTTCCTTGATTTAGTGTACGTAATATATTTTACCATTTGACCTCACCGTTAAAAAAACAAAGTTTAGTTGGAAGGTAGTTCAGCTGTCAACCTTATTTGCTGATGTTGATCCCCCTAAGACCACTACAGTACTAATTTAGTTAATTAATTAATTTGTTCTAGTCCCATCTTTAATTTAATTATTCCAGCTTATTTGTGTACTATATAAAACGCGAACAAATTAAGCCATCGAATTGCCAAGTATTATTAGTTTACCTCTCATTTCCATCTTCAACTCAATCTTCACCTTGAACACAACAACATGAAGTTGCTTACCGTCCTAGTCCTAGCTTTTTATTTGTGCATGGCCTTGTGTACTGTTTTATCTAGCCAACCATACAAGGCAATATTCAACTTCGGTGACTCCCTTAGTGACACCAAAAATTACCTTCTCTTTGGTGCTCCGTCATTCCCAGCCATCGGAAAACTCCCTTATGGAGAGACCTTTTTCAAACATGCAACCAGCCAATGCTCTGATGGACAACTCATCGTTGATTTTACTGGTACGTAACCCATACATACTATGCATGGCAATATAGTAAAAGTATGTGACAATTGATATATTGGTTGTAGCTGAGGCATTTCGGGTACCATATTTGCCGCCCTATCTTGCCCTAAATAATGGCCAACATTATAATTGTGATCATGGAGTAAACTTTGCTGTTGCTGGAGCCACTGCACTTTCCCCGGAATTCTTTTACCATAGAAATATAGGATCTAGTTTGTGGACAAACGATTCCCTGAGCACTCAGCTTGTTGGTTTAAGAAGCCTAAGCCCTCACTTTGCAACATCAAACAAGGTAAGTAATTTTAATGACTATTAGCAAGTACCCTTCCATGTTATGCCAACTCGCCACTCCTCCAGGACTCTTCAGGTACTTGGATTTTTGTCTGTCGATTGCCAACTCTTCTCCCACGTCGGAGTACCCAAAAAAAAATTGGATAGTTTGGGACAACATCTAAGGCATTATGAACGTGTAAGGCTCGAAGATCTTTGTAGCCGGAGAAGACCTTCTCAAAGTCTGAGTTTCCAACTCGAGGGCTTGCGAACAAAATGGCTGTAGCTGGGCAGGCTTTGTTTGGCAGGTCCTTCGGCCTGTTAAGTCCATTGGCAACAATGTCAATTGCACTTAGCGTGGCAATTGCTGCACCCAAACTGTGCCCTGTTATGGTGATACTAATTTCCTCATCCTTGTATTGCTCTACTAGTCTCCTAACTTCTTCAATGACCTAGATGCATAAAAACCAAAAAACACTAAAAATAAAAATTATCTCATCTATGTGTCATATTATCTTACCTAATTTGGCATGCGTATTATGTTGTCAGACTGTAATTCAAATCAAATGCGATCTTACATGGTGTCTAGCATTGGTTTTGTTGAAGGGCGAATGTGAATCATCTGAAGTATAGATGGAGTACCAACCTTGGTGCACCTTTGTATCACCTTCCTCGCCAAGTATGTTTGACGCAGAAACCAAATTAAATTGTCCCACTCCAAGGACTGCACAGTGCCTCTCCAAGCAATCACAATGTCTCTCCCGCCCAATGCAGCCTTCCCTTCATCGATCTGTCGCCACAGCAACATACGCCATCCAGTTTGATGCCTTGCACCAAGACTCCCTTGACAAAGACATAATACGGATGGCCTCAGCGACTTGAATCTGCGACGTCGCAAACACAAACTTGGTCACTTTATACTTAAAAGGGTTGCCTTTCTCTAAACCAACTTTAGAGAAGAAGTTCTTTCTCTAAACCGACGTTTTTTTTCCATATTGACGTATTTTGGATGACTTAGACCATCTCAAGGAGATGTCAAATATGTCAAATAAGATTAAAAGACATTCAAGTGTTTTCCAATAGATATGCCAGATATGATGTGACATGTGAGTCATTTGACTCCTTACTTTCTAACTGCCTTTTTTTTACAGCAAAGAAGAAGTCAAATATATTTAATTTATTTTTTTAATGGGTCCCATTAACAACCAATATAATACAAATTAAAACAAATTTTGATTATTTTTTAATAGTTAATGTAACTCTAGGCCCAATAAAATAAATATTTGACACATTCATTGGAAAATAAGAAGATTTAGCACTTGTATTCAATTTTGCTACATCAACCATCAAATAAAATTTTGACATATCATATTTGACATATCCTTTGGAGATGCTCTTGGTTACAAAAAAGACGATTGGTTTGGGTAAACAATATGGAGGCCTCTACTATCTTGTGGTGTTGGCCACTAAACAGTCCCATCCCAAAAATAAGCCATCTCGTAATCTTGTTATCATTTCTTCCGATTTTTGGCATCATCGTTTGGCCACATTTCTTCTAGTCGTTTGAAATTCTTATTTAGAACTTTGTTAAAGCTTCCTTAATCTCATAATAAAGTATGCAATATTTGCCCTTTGGCTAAACAAACACGACTTCTATTTGTGACGAGTGATCTATTTCTAGTTCTCTCAGTCCCTTCTCCCTTGTACATTAATGTGACATTTGGGGACCTCACATAACCACTTCTCTTACTGGAGCACTTTGTTTTTTGACCATTGTCGATGACTTTTCATGATATACATGAGTGTTCCTCATGCGCCTATAAAAACCAAACACAAGGAATCTTAAGTTTTTTTTTTTTTGCTTTTGTCCAACGACAATTCAATTCCAAAATACAAAAAATCCGAATGGATAATGGTAAGTTTTATTAATAGCATCAATTTTTTCAAAATAATGGAATCATCTACCAACATTCATGCGTCTACACACTCGAGTTTGTTGAACACAAGCATAGGCATGGAGGACAAAGAGACAGTAATAAACGGTATCACTTTCTTCAGCAGAGGCCTAGTATAGGCCCATCACAGGAGCATGATGCGAACTCACTTGGCTGTGTGGAGTTTGCTGTATGATTTACAGTTGCCACACTTGGACTCTTCAATGCTTTATTGTGATAATGTGTGATAATGTGAGCATCTTCTCTGGCTCCTCCGTCAAAAACGAGCATAGCTTAAAGAGTGAAATTTTCTTAATTCTTTTTCTAATTTGGTTGCAGTTTTATTTATTTAGGGTTTCAGACACCCATTTTTTTCCTGGGTGTGTTTAGTTTCTTGGAAAGAGATAAACTAAATTAAGTCTGAATTGGATGCTTGATTTGGTTTAACTTTATTGACGAAGTGTTTCATTTGGTTCTTGTTTTTCAGGAGATGATTTTGGGATGGTTTTGTTGAAAGGTTTGGCTTTGGTATGCATTCATATGAATTGTTTTACTAATTTTTCCATTTTGTATGTTTGGGCTTGATTTATTGTTCACTAATTCTCCAAAGTCACTCAGTTTTCTGGTTCAACATTCAACAGAAGGCAGCAAACTCGTAAAAGAACGTGTCCAGCGAAAGAATTTGCAGAGATTCAAACTGACCCATGAGTAAAACTGTAAAAGATATAATTTACTGGAAAAAAAAATTGACATAATTGGGTCCTAGGATAACATGAGAGAGTCTCTCCCCAATCCTCATATTGGAGGCGGAAAGTTGAAGCTTATTTCAATAGAAAAAAGAGAAAACTTGTTTACCCCGCGTCGTGTCTACTCTTGCACCGGAGATTTTTCCGATCACTGACTTTCGCCGCCATAAACCACCACGGAGTTTCAAATCCTTCTTAATAACTGCTTTGTTTTTAATTAGGTAATTCTTTTTTCTCCACAAAATATCATTATTTTGGCACAATTTATTGAATATTGCTCAATTTTGGGCGATGGAAGGTTTACGTTAACTCTTATACGAATGGCTGAAATTTAGGCAAGCAGATGACTAAAACAATGGTAACCTTCAAGTCGCCATTTAGCCGATGGTAACAAATTGTTGTCCGTTTGCATAGATGAGGGTAAATGTCCAGCTTAGACAATGGTAAAATTCCTTTGTTTGATGCCATTTTTTTAGAGCAGGCAGTTGTTTCCGAACTGTAGAAATTGACGCACGTGCGGGTTAATAAGCAAATAAAGGGGTATCAGTATATAGAATTCCTCTAATAGACTTGTAGTTGGAAGGCAGCTATCTCCTCGCATAGACTTACAGTTGCAAGCTGCGCTTGACTACTTGGTTTCTGTACTTTTTCATGCATGCATTTAATTGAGACATGAATTTATTGTTACCATATGGCGCTTGACTACTTGGAATACGTGTACTTTTTCACACACAGACACAATTTGTATATTAATATATATACGTAACTGAAGCTGCGTGTAAGTGAGAGTAGGAGATAGAGAGAGATCCATGGCTTGGTATTTTCGGGCAAGTTTGACCATGAACGTCCTCCTCCTCGTCGGAACAGTTGTGATCATCCCACATGCGCTTGGTTGCTACACTTCAATCATTG